TTTTTTTAACTTAATTGTTTATAACTTTTGTAATTTTTATCGGCGCGTTTTCGGACTTTTTCTTAAACTTTCTTCGTACTGCTTCTCCATGTGCCAAGCGGCACATTAGGTTAGTTAGATTAGGTCCAAAGTGAGTGGGTCTATTCGACCCTCCACCGCAACCCTTGTGGCTCACACCTATTCACACTCACCCAGATAAACCCAGCTTCTTTGTACGGTGAGTGGTCTTTCAGGTCAGATGGTAAAAGTACGGCTCTGCCAAACTCTGAAAAACTAATTCGATCCCCAGCGGGACTGGCACAAAGTATGTGCTCTTGCTGTTTCATCATTTTCCAAACAGAGGCAACACAGACTGTTTTCTGACAGTCCGAGTCTATGCATATGACGATTCAAATGATAGTGACCGGTAAGAAGGTCGTAGTTCATACCTACTATTATAGTCCAACAACTGTTTGGTATCCAGATTCCAAGGGTGAATAAACGCCTTGGAGTGAGCCATTCCTGGAAGATTCTGCCAGAAGTCCATAACACATTGCTCGGTAGGAGTCAAGAGCTTCCAACGCCGCATGACTGTCCGAGAATATTTTCATTTACTTGTGTATGACGTTGGATTCTTTCAATCTCTCCGCACACAATTCAGTACCGTTAATTTCCGCTTGAAATATAGTCGCATAGGTTCCTAGGCAGGGTGATATCTCTGCCCTGGGAAGGTGTTTTTGATCCATCTGTGAACCAACAAATATCTGCGCTTAATATTTCCTTCTCTCGGAGGATCCAGTCTTCTCCACTCGGGAACAGTACTTCATGAGGCAGTTCGTAGTTGACAGTTGGAGGCATAAAGTCAGAGGTCATTTCCAGAATGCTGTGATTTCCAGTGTCAACCAACAATCTGTGGCACTCTGCATTAAGTTGATGTGTGCAATTGGCAATGTGCACAAGTCTATATACAGTCAATCAGCGTATTTCTTCAACAGAATATACCTCATTCGGAAAAAATTGAATGGCATAAGCCAACTGATATCCCGACGTCCTCAGCATCTTCTCTGATAGTGATTCGACGATTTTCCATAACAATTTTCTTCACTTTCTCAACATTTCCATCGATTATGGCTGAGGCGTCCAGGGCGAACGTCGTCATTCACATCTTCTCGACCTTTTGTGTGAAAATCTTGTACTTGTACTACCTTTGATTCAGTTTTTTCGATAGTAGAAAATCGCCGAACACGCAAAACACTTTTAATTTTTATGCCTCTCACCAACAAAATAAACATGTTAAACAGCTGAAAGTGTGAACATATGTTCCAAACGAGTGTACCAACATGAAAAAATCGTTAATCGACTGTACGTAGCCCGCGAAATTTGAACATTCAATTTATTTTTTGAACAAACCTCGTATATATACATTTAGGGGGTGAATTACATCAAAATAGCCTGAATAACTAGCACTATCTCTGGATGCTCATTTAAACATCTTTCGAATTTCGATTCAATGGTTCTGACTCACACCTATTTACACAGGACCAAATAAACCCACCTTCCTAACGAAGCCGATTAGTTGGTATGGTGAGTGGTCTTTCAGGTCAGAGTATGGCTCTGCCGAGCTCTAAAAACTTGATTCGGTCCCCACCGGGGCAGACACAAAGTATGTGCTCTGCTGTTTCATCATTTTCCAAACAGAGGCGACAAAGACTGTCTTCCGATAAGCTCTGCATATGATGATTCAAATGACAGTGACCTGTAATGAGGCCTGTTAGACATCTTAGTTCATCCCTACTGTAGACCAACCCTTCGAAGGGTGAATGAACGCTTTGGAGTGAGCCAAACCTTCCCCATAAACTTGCTGCCATCCAGGTGTTCAATCTTTGTTTAGCAAAGTCTAAAGCGATGCCAATGACAGGTTCTGGTCCGATGAAGCTGCTTGCAGCACTCTCCTTTGCAAGGAAGTCAGCAGCCTCATTGCTTTCCAGGAAAGTATGGCCAGGAATCCAGACCAGAGACAATCTAATAAGTCTTCCTATCGAGGAGAGTCGTTTTTGGAAATTTGCTACCAGTTTAGACTTTGATTGGTAGGAGCCAAGAGCTTCCAACGCCGCTTGGCTGTCCCAGAATAAGGTTGGATTGTTCCAATCTCTCCGCACACAATTCAATAGCGTAAATTTCCGCTTGAAATACAGTCGCATAGGTTCCTAGGCAGGTTGATATCTCTGTCCTGGGTCTGCGACTGAAAACACCTGCACACCTGCTCTTGATATTTCCTTCTCCCGGAGGATCCAGTCCTCTCTACAAACGTTCGGTATTGTGGAAACAGTATTCATGGCTTATGTATCACGATAATGCATCTGCTCATTCGTTATTATTTGTTCGTAGATTTTTGGCCGAAAACAACACCATAATCATGCCTCAGCTACTATATTCACCATATTTAGCCCCCTGCGACTTTCTTCTGTTCCCAAAATTGAAGAAACCCGTGAAAGGACGGTGTTTTGCGACGATTGAGGAGTTGAAAACTGAATCGTTGAGAGAGCTCAAGGACATAAAAATTGCATATCAGAACTGCTTCGAATATACCTGTATGTGTACTAGTTCGCAACCCACTTCATCCAAATCAGCATGCATATACTCCGGGAAGGTCTACTGATTCTGCCCTTCACCATGTGGTTGGCAGAATCGAGAAATCATTGGACAATAAAGAATCCACCCTGGGTATATTCATAGATATCGAGGGAGCGTTTGATAAAACAACCTTTCCAACAATTACCCAGCAACTACACTCCAGGAATGCACCCCTGGTAGTAGGAGAATGGATACTCAAGATGCTCTCTAGTAGAGCAATAAGTATTAATGTAGGAGACATCACAGTGAAAGGATTGGTCATGAGGGGAAGTCCACAGGGAGGGGTCTCATCATCCCTTCTCTGGAACATAGTTTTGGATACCCTGATTAATCACCTTAACAAAAATGGATTCTACACAATTGCATATGCAGATGACATAGTAATCTTGCAGACCGGCAAATTTGTAAACACACTGTGCGATAGAGCGCAGGATGGGCTCAAATTGATAGAAACATGGTGTAAGGAACACTCACTGTCGATCAATCCCAAGAAGACTGAGATGGTCCTTTTCACCTGGAAAAGAAGTTTAACGGGCTTAAAACTTCCCGAAATCTTCATGAGCAAACTAAACATCTCTTAAGAGGTGAAATACCTGGGTACTATCCTCGACAGGAACTAACATGGAACTCTCATCTACAGAGTAGAGCAAAAAGAGCATTCGTGGCTCATGAGCAATGTCGGAGGACTGTGGGACGCGCATGGGGTCTTTCACCCCGTGTGGTCACCTGGATCTATACTGCAATAATAAGACCTATGTTAACGTATGGAGCCATTGCATGGGGACCCAAAAGTTCTACAAGCAACGGCCATCCAAAAATTATACCAAATACAGCGACTGGCTTGTTTAAACATCCCAGGAGCCATGAGAACAACAGCAACCGCGGTAATGGAATTAATTACGGGTCTGACCCTTCAGGACATGTACGTTAAGGAGCTTGCGTTAATGGCCATGGTACGATTGCGCACGGCTGGTGTAAACCTCGAAGTAGGAATGGGTCAATTGAGTGAAAATTGTTGATGAAAGAAAAAGCATAACAATTTGAAAGAAATTAATTAGTATTGTGTAAAAAGAAGGCTGAAAAGTTGCAATTTTCGGAACTTCGGAGGGCTTTATCTCTGGAAATAAGGGAGAGCACCGATTTTTCTTTTTGGATCCACAATCTACGTGGACTATTGAAAAAAATAAGATGAGAATGTTTAAATTTCGTGGGCTACGAACCAAATCAATATATATGGAAATATATTTTTGCAGATAATTGTTCTCAACATTTAAACTGTACACTTTATATTTTTTTAAGTTATGAAATGTCTATTTGTAAATTCAATAACATATCTGTATGACCAGTGGCTTGTCTAAAGAATAATCATACCAAACGAATAAGCGTGAAAATTTCATATTGAAAATAAAAGCTTTAAAGTACTATTGACGACGACGATGTCATTTCAAGTCTGAAACATTTTTCAAATTACAAGCATTTCTGTCATATTTTGTAATTAAACAGACATGCAAAATATATTGAGTACTTGGCCTTAATACTTACGAAGCAAGTTCATCTGCAGCAGAAGAGTTATATCCCATCTCNAGCTTTCATATTGTCGTTTTTTCTGCATGTCCACTATAATGGAGTTAAGGAATGCGACTTGACCTTCAATCAATAACTTCTCCTCCAGCAGCTGCTTGTAATCATTCTTTGATTTAGTCTGTGCCTAGTTGGGAATATAAAGCATCATGCAAAAAGCCAAGCAAGATTAATTAAACCTAGCGAAATACTAATAAAAATCCAAAAGTTTCGTCCATTTCAATGTCATGTGTTTCTGTAGCTCCGTATCTCATTAAACATTTATTCTACTGTATTGTGGTATACAGTGTGTCAATTTTAAAACTTACAATGGGCTATATATCAAGAACGAAAGCTGCTTGGAACCGTTTCTAGGATAGTGAGGCGGAACTAAAGTGACATGAAAGAGAAATCACCCCCATCAAACTCCTAGGCCTCACCCACCAAATAACAAAAAGTTTAAATTGCAAACTCCTACCTGTGATACATCATTGAGAATACAATAATTGTACAGGGTGAAGCAATAATTGTGAAACTTTGGCTTAAATGGAATATTTAATGAGGTTTATGTTGAACTACAAATTTATTAAAAATGTCAATTAAGTAAATGTTCAAAGTGGGTTCCGTTGTTTTGTAAAGAATAATACAGCCTGTTGTCAAAGTCTGCACGAACTTTAATATCAGCCGGCTTACTATGACTTTTTATTTGTAATGCTACCTCCCGGACTATTATTTTAAATGATAAGTGTTCGTCGATACTTTTTTTATTAAATAAAAACTCAATTTGCCGTTTTTTGCAAAACAAGTTGGAAAGATCTGTTTTTTGGGTTGTCAGAGTCAATAATTTTTGGTTTGTTTGATACTTTTAAATGTCATTAGTTTTCATCATTTGTACGATCTGTACTGTCATTCAGCTGTATTTGTCACGATGGTTTACAGTATATCTGAGCGCGTGGAGACATATTTGCCTCCCAGAACCAGGGTTATTTAAAAACAGCTCAAATATTTCATGAAAGGCATCCGGACAAATTGAAAGTCACGTGTACGTCCGCGATTTAGTTGAAAAGTTTAGAGAAACGGGATCAGTGCAAAATAAAAAAAGTAATGTCCCAAGATTACTGAATGAAGCAACCCAAATTGAGGTCCTTGGAAATTTTGCAATGGAGCCTACTGCATCAACACGTCAAGTATCTGCAGTGCAGTGAAATTCTTCAAGAACTAGGCGATGATGATCCAGACTGACGAATTGAGTTTTGTGAACTCATGACTCAAAGAATTCGCGTTGAACCGAGAATGTTAAAAAAATATTTGTTTCAGTGATGAATGTACTTTTATGCTGAATGGTAATGTAAATAAACAAAACTGTCGGTACTGAAGTGATGCGAACCAGCATTGATTCAGAGAAGGTCACACTCAATATCCTGAAAAACTGAATGTTTGGGCAGGAATATTAGGCGATGGTATAATTGGCAAATGCAAGGCAATTTAAGTGGCGACATTTATCTCGATATGATGGAAAACACAATCAAACCTTTAATTGTGCATGAATTGGGGGACGACCAAGGCAACGTAGCTGAAGACGAAGATTTGCTGCACTTCCAACAAGATGGAGCACCTCCTCACTATGCAGCTCCAGTTAGGCACTGGTTGGATACTAATTATCATCCGAACAAAAGGATTGAAAGGACAGGTCCCATTGAGTGGCCACCGAGGTCACCAGACTTGGCGCCACCTGACTTTTTTCTGTGGTGTCACCTCAAGTCAGTTGTTTATAAAACTCAACCTGCGTCACTTGGGGATTTGCGAGAAAGAATTACTCAAGCATGTCGCGCCATTACTAGAACATTTGCCAAAGTTCGTGCAGAATTTGAAAATAGGCTGTATTATTGTTTATAAAACAATGGAACCCACTTTGAACATTTACTTAATTGACATCATTTTTAATAAATTTGCAGTTCAACAAAAACCTCATTGAATATTCCATTTAAGCCAAAGTTTCACAATTATTGCTTCACCCTGTACAATTATTATTTATATCATTGGATAGCATTTTTATAGTGTTTTCAATGATGTATCACAAGTAGGGGTTTGCAATTTAAACTTTTTGAGTTTTGGTGGGTGGGGCCTAGGGGGTTGATGGGGTGAGTTCTCTTTCATGCCACTTTAGTTCCCCTTACTATCCTAGAAACTGTTTTAAGCATTTTTCGATATCAGCTTTCGTTCGTGAGATATAGCCCATTGTAAGTTTTAAAATTGACACACTGTATACTGATCGATAGAGAATTGTGTGCTCTATATAATGATGCTGTTAATTTTTTTCCAAATTTTATTTTTTTGTCACGGAGATTTTAGCCTAGAAGATAAGCCATGCAAGTGGTCGACCTACAGTAATCGAGGACAATGATTCTAGGACCCTGGTGGAGGTTGACTCATTACAAACGGTGCAAGGGATGGGCGTAAGGTTCCATAAGGTATATATGTATGTATATAGTAGGGAGGGTGAGTGTTTACCCACAGCACTTAGGCCACAAGTGACCCATTGTACATCCTCCCGAGGAGTTGTCCAGCTAGGTCATCGTCCATCCTGTTCTTTCCAGCAAGATGGAATTGGTAGAATTGGCCGCGGTGGTAGTGCGCCCGACTCACGATCGGAAGACCGTGGGTTCGATTCCTGCCTCGGCCAGATATTTTTCCCGAGAGAATTTATCTGGTTGAAGCTGGGACGATTCTGCAACCGTGTTAGGAATCACACGTTAAAAGGTAAGACCTCGTTAGTCCTTAGCTCGCACAAGTTTCTCAACTTCTGAGAGTTGTCGTTCGTATGGGGGCGACAGCTGATTAACGGAAAAACAGTTTTTTTAAACAGTTCACTAGGAAACATCTCCTTTATATCGGCAGGTGTAGGCCAAGACTCGCCGAACACACACTCTCTTTGGCAACCTTGAGGTATCTCACGGCGGCCTCCGCGAAGGTTTTGGAAGGTGCAGCGATATTACTGTCGTTGCGCGGTTTCTTCAACCTTCTTGGGGTTCCCTCCGTGGAGGTGCACAAGTGAGGGCGCTTTTCTGCAGGGGCAGTTGGTTCCTTGCCTTTATTCAAGGCGGAGATCTTGGCGCCCGCCGCAGGAAGTGTCCTTCCTCTTGGAGGTGGAGTGGGTGAGGAGGAGGGTGCACTTATAATTGCTGCCACTCCTGCCACTTTCTCCTTTTGGCCTCAGCGCCGCAACTGCGTCGCCTTTGTATTACATCACGAGGTGACCTGTTATGTCTAGCCTCATTTCGAGCGGTAGATTGGGGTGGACATTTCTGTTCATCCCCAGCCACCACCATAGATTGAGGTGAGCACTTCTGTCCAACCTCGGGATTGGTTTTTGTTTTGTGTGTGTTCCCACGGTTAGCAAGGGAAGAGTTGGTCACTTCTGGTAGAGCCCCGCATTACTAGAGGGAGGCAGATTACAATGAGGTTTCCCAGGTTCCCCAAGGGGATCGTTCATAACCGCATATCACCCTGCGGTCATTCAGCTGTCGGCCCGATTCCTTACACCTTAGCTTGGGTAGGCTGGTCCACGGTGGCGTGTTTAGCAAAGGCTTTTGGTGAGTTTTTGTTCCCCTCACCCTACTTATTTCTGCCACTGGCCAGGAGTCCGGCGACCCCGTCCGTAAGCCCACATATTTGCTTCCCGGACAGGGCCCCCAGTCCCCTGGCCGTTCCCCTATCCGCCACCTGGGGACGCGCATGATAGGTAACCCAACCCACGGGGGCCCCATTGAGTTTTGTATGGTTTAAAACGTATTGGAAAGGTCAAAAACCTCAAAAAATAAGTGCCTACGATTTGAACGATCAACATAAATTGTCACGTTTCAACGTCTATTCTTCTTTGTTTTTGCGCAACCAAAACGATACTTTGTTGAATCGGATCGTCACGTCTGATGGGGAGTGGATCCTCTATGACAACAGAAAACGTTCAGGACAGTGGTTGGACACCGATGAGCCACCCAGGTACCACCAAAAAAACATCATGGTTATTGTACGGTGGTCAGCGGTTGGCGTGATTCACTATAACTTCCTGCAACCGGGCCAAACCATCACAGCAGGGTCCTACTGTGAGGAAATCGAGAATGCGTACCGAAAATTGTGTCAGCAGCAGTCGACACTGGTCAACAGAAGTGATCCAATCCTGTTCCACGACAACTTCCGTCCGCACGTTTCACGAATCACCGTCCGAAAATTGAACGAATCGAGCGTCGAAGTTCTGCTTCACCCACCATACTCTCCAGACCCCTCGCCAACCGACTACCATCTTTGGAAGCACTTCGATAAACTTCTCACCTGTAGAACCTTAGGCAACTAGGATCAGGCAAAAACGGCCTTCGTCGACTTCATCGAATTCCGAATACACAATTTTTATGCTGATGGAATTATTCAACTTGTGCTATGTTGGCAAAAGTGCACCGATTCAAATAGCGCTTATTTGAATTGAATAACAGTTTACAGTAGATTCATAGAAACGGACAAAACTTTTGAAACAACCTGTTCAAATAGAAATAAACTAGATCTGATTAGAATATGAAAGATCTAATATATCTTCTTGATCAACATTTACAGCAATTATTTCATACGGTTGTGCCTAATGAAATAACTTGACTATTTAAGGAACCCTCAAACCAAGAAATTAATCTGACAAGCAATTACAGCTTACCGAATTTGGTTCTGTTGATTCCACTACTCCATTTGTTATTTTTCCCTGCGACGAAACCTTTAAAATCATAAAATTAGTTATTTACAGAACTTCATCCGTAGATACTTCACCTTCTTCAATTCCTCTCTTAGTTTGCCAAGTTCTTGATTTTGCACATAGAGTTTTTCTTCCTTTTCTTTAAGTTTTGATAATGCATCATCAAGACTCTTCTGTAGTTCTTGAACTTTGAGGGAATCTTTATTTGATTGTTCGAAGATCTGCTTCATTTGATATTCTGAGTTAGAGACAGCCTTGATTTTTTCCTCAAGCTCAGTTCTCAGGATCTCTAACGTCTTTTCAAGATTCTCCCTATCATGTACAAGTTCCTGAAGCTCTTCATCTTTCGCTCTCATATTAAGTTCATATTCTTCTTTACTTGATTTTAAAATCGTATCTTTTTCTTCTAGTTGTTTGGCAATATTATCCAACTTTTCACTAATTTCTTTTGAAGTTGAAGTGTGTAATTCTATTTCAGTAGTGAGTTGTTCCTTGTGTTTAGATAGTTCAAGAACAGTTTTCTGAGAATCACTCAGTTGTTTACGAATTTCTTCCTGGGTTGCTTTGAGACTTTCAATTTCTCCTTTAAGTTTTGTGGCATTTTCTTCTCCAATTTGGATTTGTTCTAGAGATTGTTTCAGTTTGACTTGCAACTCTGCCAACTCATGACTTTTTTCAATATCTGATTTCTTCAACTCATTTGTTGCATCAGTTGAGGAGGCTATAATTCTGTCTTTATTTTCCAATTCTGTGAGTAAATCTGATATTCGAATCTCCAAGTCTTCAAATTCCTTTTTATAGTTATCGTTGATGTCTTTTAAATGTTTCTCGTTTTGACTAGTTACTGCATTCAACTGTTCTTTTAATTTCTCCAATTCATCAGATTTTTTTTCTAAATTAAGATTAGCTTCAGCAAGAGAAAATTCACTTCGACGAACTTTTTCGGTCAAATCTTTCTTCACCTCTTCCAGTTCTAAGGTATGATTTTCCAATGCAACTAGCTTTTCATTCCTTTCTTTTTCTAAACTAATTTGCACTTCTGTGAAATCACCTTGATATTTTTTCAAATCATTAGATACCGCATCCAAATTCTCTCTTGTAGAGGTGAGATCCTTTTCTAGGACTTCAATTTTATTAGATTTCTCTTTGATTGTTTCCACACTAGATTCCAGTTCTTTAGATACAATGGCTAGTTCCTGTTTGCAATTTTCGTTTGAATCCTTTAACTCTTTTACCAATTTTTCAAGATCGTTGACTTTATTCTCAAGCGCCTCTTTATCCTTCAAGATAATGATGGCTTCTTCTTTCAATTTTGAAACTTTCAAAGATTCAGATTCCTCGATTTTTGCAATTTCTTCCAATCTCATTGTGAGGTTATCAACTTCTAACTGCTTTTCTTTATACTTTTCTTCCAGGTGACTGAACTTGATAGCATTACTAGTGACCTCATCATCTTTTCTTTGCATGTCTTCTTTGAGCTGCTTGATTTTTTCTTCACTCTCAGCTAATTGTTTACCATGAACTTCCAGTAAAGCCTTATTTGATGACTCATTGTTTTCCTTGTAACTCTCGAAATCTCTCACCAAATTCTCTAGCTGTTTATTTTTCTCAGCCAGCTCTGCAGTGACACTAATAAGCTGTTCATCTCTTTCCGAAATGTTCTTTGAAAATTCTGATTTTGCTTCTTCTAATTCAATTATTTTCGATTTCAATGATTCTTTAATTTCATCTCGTTCTTTCGTCAAATTCATCTCTACGTCACTTAAGTTCGTTTGGTATTGTTGCAAATTATTGGTCACTGATTCAAGATCAACTTTTGTCGTTTGTAAATCAGTCTGAAGGGTTTGTATTAGAATGTCTTTACCTTTCAAATTTTCGGAGATTAGATCGATTTCCGAACTTTTTTTTGAAATGATAATTTCGTATTCTTGCTTAATCCTATCGGATTCGCATTTTATTTTATCTATTTCAGTAGCTTTATTCTGGAGTTCACTGTTCAAATTTTTAATAATGTCGTTATTTTTTAACAACTCCTCGTTTTTCTGATCAATTTCCAACAACAGTTCTTTCAATTTAGAATCTTTTTCTCCCAAAGTTTTTTCAAAGTCACTTGTCATTTTCAAATTCGCAGTTTCAATATCGTTCTTCAGCATTTGTAGTTCGTTTCTCAAAACCCCGATTTCTTCTAGTTGGACACTATTTAACTTACTCATTTCTTCGATTTTTTTGTCGCGTTCTGAAATTTTTGCCGTGAAATCTTTTATAACTTCATCATGACTATGACCTTTATTTTTCAATTGCTCAATCAGTGCTTCTTGTTCTTTTTGTATTTTTCCAAGTTCTTCTTCTTTAGCTTTCATATTGTCGCCCATTGATTCTAAATCTAAAATTTTGGAACTCAAGTCCATCTTCAACCGTTCAATTTCTTTTTCCAAAGAACCTTCCACACTCAGCTTCTCAGAACTTATTTTTGACAATGCCTCGATTTTCTCCTGTACCAATGCATTCATTTGATTAAGTTCATTTTTGATATCACATATTTCCTTGTCCTTAACATTACATAAGGCCTCGAAATCAGTCTTCATGTTCGTACTATCCTCTAAATTTTTCTTCAAGTTGATGGTGAGCTGATTTATTTCTTGTTTGAGAACCGAAATAATTTCATTCTTTTCTTCTATATCGATTTTACATTGGTCTGTTTCCTTCTCTAAAGATGATATGAGTGCTAAAAAAATTTTTTTGAGATAATAATAATAAATTTATTAATCCCAAGAAACATCACACGTTTCATAGTCGGGACAATGTAACATACATATTAACAAAAAAGAACATACTGGGAATTAAGGATTTTCCTGTAGTGCTTGTGTTTTGTCATTGAAAAAAACAAATAAAAATACGTAAAACTACAAAATTGTCAATCTATTTCAAATTGTATTCTTTTAGTTGTCTTGAATTTCGTGTAATTGAATATTTTCATATTGTTAGGTATTTTGCAGTGGCGGCTCATCAGAGGAGGCAAGGGAGGCTTAGCCTCCCCATAAAATTTGAGGTTATTCATCGCAATAAATTAAAAGATAATGACAAATAATTATGATTATTTTTTTTTTTATAGGTTTTCATGATGACGATTTGTTTCATATTTTAAATCGTACGTGTGACACCTATAATTTTAGGCAAAAGTTAATTGCGCAAATCTATGAAGGGGCTGCAGTCATGGCCGGCCATTTAAATGGTTTACAAACTAAAATAAAGTCCATAGCTCCTCATGCACTTTTTACACATTATCATGCACATGCCCTAACTTTAGTATTAAGCAAAGCGTGCAACAACATAAAAATGTTCGCGCCTTTGGCGGGCTTTTCTGTGTGTATATAGTCTTTATGACTTTAGCCTCCCCTGTTCTCCAATGCACGAGCCGTCACTGGATTTTGTTATATAAATTGACTCCATCACGAAAAATACATTTTTGACCGAATTTGCTTTTGTGTTGTTGTGAAACTATATTTTGAATTTGTCGTGTATTAATCATGAATTGAATTGATTTCGTCGAAACATGATATTGAATGTTTTTTATTATTCTTTACATTATAAATGAACATGCATATTTTGAAATGGTATATTCCCCTAATATCATATAATTTTATAGATTTATATAGATTGCTGGTCCTTCCTCTCTAATTCAGCTCAAATATACATTTAATGATTTTATTTTGTAACCGTTTCAAATGAGAGGGATTAGTTGTTGTCCAAACTGATGTTAGGTATTGAAGAGTCTAATAAATTAAAGATAAATTAATTGTTTTCAAATATTTAAATAAAATATTTTATAAAATATACCTACAGGAGGTGCATTTTTTTTTGAGTTGACTAGATATAAACCTAAAGTTTTTATTTTCCTCAAATTCCATCAAATTATCATTGAAACTGAAAAAAAACGTTTTGTAATCTAAATTTGTTCTGGTTATAATTGTATAGCAATATTTATCGGAATTCAAATGTAACTCAAGAGATCTCAACCAGAGAGATATTAGTTTCAAGTTTTCTAAAAGAGATTTTCAAATGAAATTGGTATTTTCAGAAAAAGATTGAAAGAACCACAAAAATTCAGTTCCGTAATTGAACTGCTGTAAATTAGGAATAAAGTCGTACCTAAAACAGGACCTTGTGGAACGAAACACTTGATGGTTTTCAATTTTTTTTCTGTGCATGAGTATACTGCTTTCTGTTGCTATGATAATTTTGAAACTGAAACTGACGATTTTCAGAGTAAGATTCATTACTTTTTCCACCCTATTTCCCACTAAAGCAGATTTTAGTTCAGAAATGGGACAAGCTACAAATGAGGGTATGTCCACCTCAATGTTTTCAACTCATCAATGAACGATAGAAGTGCACTATAGATTTTAGGTTTTCCCATAGAGAAAAGGTCTAGAAAAAATTATCGGTAACTCAGCCGGCCACTTACCAATTTGAAGTGAGGTACTATAGTTAAATTATATTGGTATGTATAGTTATATTGGTATATTATACATCTTTAAATTGGAAGTTTTTTCATTGTGCCACTTTTAAGAAACATGGAAATATTAACAGTACCATTCCAAAAACGTGGAGTCTTCACTGAAACGATTGAGATTTGTTGTATTTCGCAGTCAGTTCTTTGAAACATGTGAAGCAATATCTTTCACTAAGTTTGAAAAATGTTAAGAATAGGTTGATTATTATTCTATTTCAGTTTTTCTCCCAAAAGTTGACTATGAATCATTTTTGAAACAAACACAACATGAAGAACTTTTGAAACCAACACCATAATCATGCCTCAGCTACTATATTCACCATATTTAGCCCCCTGCGACTTTCTTCTGTTCCCAAAATTGGAGAGACCCGTGAAAGGACGGTGTTTTGCGACGATTGAGGAGTTGAAAACTGAATCGTTGAGAGAGCTCAAGGACATAAAAATTGCATATCAGAACTGCTTCGAATATACCTGTATATGTACTAGTTCGCAACCCACTTCATCCAAATCAGCATGCATATACTCCGGGAAGGTCTACTGATTCTGCCCTTCACCATGTGGTTGGCAGAATCCAGAGATGATTGGACAATAAAGAATCCACCCTGGATATATTCATAGATATCGAGGGAGCGTTTGATAAAACAACCTTTCCAACAATTACCCAGCAACTACACCCCAGGAATGCACCCCTGGTAGTAGGAGAATGGATACTGAAGATGTTCTCTAGTAGAGCAATAAGTATTAATGTAGAAGACATCACAGTGAAAGGACTGGTCATGAGGGGATATCCACAGGGAGGGGTCTCATCACCCCTTATCTGGAACATAGTTTTGGATACCCTGATTAATCACCTTAACAAAAATGGATTCTACACAATTGCATATTTAGATGACATAGTTATCTTGCAGACCGGCAAATTTGTAAACACATTGTGCGATAGAGCACAGGATGGGCTCAAATTAATAGAAACATGGTGTAAGGAACACTCACTGTCGATCAATCCCAAGAAGACTGAGATGGTCCTTTTCACCAGGAAGAGAAGTTTGACAGGCTTGAAACTTCCCGAAATCTTCAAAAGCAAACTAAACATCTCTTAAGAGGTAAAATACCTTGGTACTATCCTCGACAGGAACTAACATGGAACTCTCATCTACAGAATAGAGCAAAAAAGCATATGTGGCTTATGAGCAATGTCGGAGGACTGTGGGACGCACATGGGGTGTTTCACCATGTATGGTCACCTGGATCTATACTGCAATAATAAGACCTATGTTAACGTATGGAGCCATTGCATGGGGACCGAAAGTTCTACAAGCAACGGCCATCCAAAAATTATACCAAATACAGCGACTGGCGTGTTTAAACATCACAGGAGCCATGAGAACAACACCAACCGCGGCAATGGAATTAATCACGGATCAGACCCCTCTGGATATGTACGTTAAGGAGGTTGCGTTAATGGCCACGGTACGATTGCGCACGATTGAGGCTGGGCCTGTGGCGGGAAGCGCTTACTGCGCAACCTCTACTGCAGGCAACAAGCGATGCAATTGAACCCAGGTTTGTTTTTAATAAACCCTTCAAAATACAAATCAAGCAGAACATGGACAGATGATACAGATGCAATACGGATTTATACAGACGGCTCAGGGTGTGGAGTGTACTCCAGATCACTGAGCCTAAGAATTGAGTGGGGAATGAGAAGAAATACCAGCGTGGTCCAAACAGAACTGGCTGGTATCTCAATCGCCACAAAAGAATTAACCAAGAAAGGAATTTCTGGCAAAAACCTAACAATCTTCACTAAGCAGACAAGTCCTATTAGCCTTGAACATACAACTCATAACCTCAGGGCTAGTACTAGAGTGTCACCAAGATTTAGTCAAAGCTTCGGTAGATAATAACATTATCCTGAGGTAGGTTGAAGGGCACAACCGGAGTAAAGGTAAGCGCATTGCCGACTCTTTAGCCAAGGAAGCGGCTGGACTAAGAATTTTAGGACCCAGTGGCACCTACGGCCTGATGACTTCGACAATTGCGGAACTAGTCAAATGTTACACCCATGCTCAATCCTTAAAGGGATATGACGAAACCAAAGGATGTAATCGTGCCAGGATCACCTTGGGCGACCCTGGGAAGCTGGCGCCGAAGAAATATCTGACAATGACCAGGAAAAATCTACGTCTAACAGTAGGATTTCTGACTGGCCACTGTCAACTAAGGAAACATCTCCATAATATGGGGCTAGTGGATTCACCTCTATGCAGGATGTGTGAACAGGAAGACGAGACTGTCAGGCATGTCAATAAGAGAGTGTGTGTTCGGCGAGTCTTGGCCTACACCTCCCAGTGACCTGTCCACCTTCCTGGAAAGGACAGGATGGACGATGACCTAGGAGGACAACTCCTCGAGAGGAAGTACAATGGGTCACATGTGGCCTACTCTACATATATCTGTATTGTGTTTTCCCATCTATTCAGCATGATTATAAATCATGAACATCTCAAATAAATAGAATGGATGTGCTTAATAAATACAATGAGTGAAATCGGAGGGCTATACAATTCTAGTGGTTTTAGTGAGTTGCTGGCAGGAGAGCTTGGAAAAAGCTGTATTTCAATTTAAAATATATTGATAAATTGATGGATGTAGCCGTCACTACGTGGTAGGAGATCATGATGAAAAGAGAAATGAAAATTTCTATGTTTTTACCACTTTTATTTGTAACTAACGTTACTGCAGTTTCGTCCTATACGGACATATTCAAACTTATACAACTTATATAAGACTGGAAACTTTCTGTTTTTTTTTTCGTATCTTCTCATAGCATATTATTGAAATGCTCCCTTCTCTCGAAACTAAAGTTTATTGCCGAAAAACAGATGAGTATTTAGAACGACGCCACTTGGGATGTTTCGAGTAGGTACTCATTGTTAACACTTTTATGGATTAAGACAAGGAATTCGGACCCAAGTGGTTGACCTCTCTTGACTATATTTATGACCCCGGCCATTGTGAGGGATGATTTTTCCCAAGTTACTTCGAACACATTTTTTAGCCGAGGTAATTCATTCTGTTCTGGGATTTCGGCCGGGAACTATTTCTTATTCTCGGGTTTCAGCCGAGAACTAAATCCGCTCTAGAGTCTCCTTGCTGATCGAGAGAAGACTTAGCGTTTTTTCCTCGAGGTTACCCTGTAATTTTCTTTTACGTGTTTTGTTTGTCGTTGTCCTTTTTTGTTAATAAATTTGAAAAAGGAGTAAACTAATGAAAAATACAACTGAATATTAAAGTCGTGAGATATGGACTTACATGTAGTTGTGGCACTAGAACCTTCTAGCAAAAGCTCTCTAGTTCTAGCTTCCTGCAGTTGCTTACGCAGAGATTCAATTTCCTCTTTAGCTCTAATTAATTTTTCTTCCGCTTCGAAGTGTTTGTTGGCATCCGACTCATAGCTATCGATTTTGTCACGTTCTTTAGATAGTTGTTCTTCTAATTCCTTTATTTTTGCCACATAGTTCTCATTTGAAAGCTGGAAAACAAGAAAACAAATTATTTCGCATTTCAAAACCAGCAGCACAGAAAAACAAAAATCTAAAGCAATAAAGCATACAAAACACAAACGAAATCATTTTATAAAAACTTACACTTTGGGCTAACATTTTTTTCTGAAATTAAAAACGATGGTTGAAACTTAAGAGTATGACATTTTCCCTGAGACCTTATACTGACCTCTATGTCCTCCTTGGATATCGATGATTCTTCTATTCTGAACTGAAGATCTTCATTTTTTCTTTTCTCTTCTTCTAACTGAGATACCAGGTCACGTCTGTCTTCCTTCAATTTGTTGAATAGATTCATGTGTTCCTTCAATTTGGTTTCGCATTCTGAACGATACTGAAAAAAATGTAATTTATGTAACACTTCATTGTGAGATTTTCACTCGACAGTTTTGCTTTCTCAAGCGTTTTCATATGAAAACTGTCCAGTTATGGATTTTCATCAAGTATCGGCCAATTCCATCAAATATGTTAAATTTGTACATAAACTATGAATGGTCGAACCCGTTTTTCGATGAAAATACTAACACTATTCATGATAATAATACCTGCATTTCATTTGTTCGGACTTCCATTGTCTGATATGATATAAATTGATTTTAAATCCCTGAAAGAACCAGTGTTCCTCCTTGGGGATGATTTCAGCTTGAGCCCACTTGATGTTATGTTGATGAGTCCAAACATGCTCTGCTATTCCTGATTTGCTGGTTTCTTCTCGCTGTGCGTTTCTTGTGCTCGGCAATGCGAACTTTCATACAATCATTCCCATCGCCGCTCTAACATTTCAAAACCACTTTTGTGTTACATTATCATACCATACCATATTATCATACTATTGTATAGTATGAACCAACATTTTCTCGACCTTTTGTGAAAAACTTGTGAGAATTGTAAAAAAAATTCTGACTCAGAGTACAATCACCGTATGCCATTGTCAAGTGTATTTGAGCACTTAATTCCATTTTTTACATAAAATTTGATGCAAATTCTTTGATTCGTTGATTGATTTCGATAGAACATCTCCGAACACGCAAAACGCTTTCAAATTTCCTTCAAACATAAAAAAATAAAAAATTACTAATCGAATCCACGTAATCGGCGAAATTAGAACATTCACCTAGTTTTTTGATCGGTCCACGTAAATCTCCTAATGGGGTGAGTGGTAAGTTCTGTCATTTACGTTTCATCAATCAATATTTTCTATATTCTCAGATATATCAGCCTACTTACAGATTTCTTTTTGTGTAACAACAAAACAATACCTATATTCACATAGAAAGTGGGAAATATGTACAGGTTATGCTACTGAAATCATTCACGTTTTCACCAGGAACTTACCCTTTCGTGCTCTTGTCTGAGGGTATTATATTTTTGCTCGGCTTCGTCTGCTAGGCTTAAAGCTTTGGTAATTTCTGCTCTCTCAAGATCTCGCTCTTTCAGAAGCTGTTCAATGTGCTGTTGTTTCTCCTTCAAGACGTCCTGTTGAAAAGTGTAAACAGACATGAAGAAACTAATTTCAGGTAAATAGGAAAAATAGCAAAACCACTACGTTCTTTACGGCAATAAGTGAAGAAAGTACATAAACTTCTCCACAGTTGACTGTGTCCTCCTTTGTTAATGAACAATAGGTTCATCTTTCAGAAGAAATTCGGAACTGTGAGATTTTTTGCGATGATTACGCTAAACGTCAAGTGAACAGATTTTGAATAATGATAATAATAATAATATGCTTTATTGTGCCAAAGAACCAAAGGTCTTATTGGCAAAGCTGAAAATTTTTTCCGTCACTATACAACTATTTATACATATGATTGGTTGGAAAATGTTAGCTCGACTGGCTAAGTTAAGAAAACAGGAACAATTTTTTGGAGCAATCATGTTGATCAAAATTAACGATTTCACACAATAAAAGTATTTTGTTGAAATTTAACCTCTCCTACATGTTTTTTGACTATTATACAAGTGTTTTTCATAATCGATCTGTAATGTTTTTAAAATTCTGAATGTTTTTTGTGGCTTAGATCATACATACAAACTCATTTTTCAGTTTCTGAAGGAGAGTCTAATAAAGTCTCGAGAGCTTTAAGAGAAAAAAAAATCTCATTTTTCTTGTCTCTGACTGCACCTGCTCCAAAAAATTGTACTTGCTGTAGTATATATATATACACATATATGCCTAAAAACATATGTACGAGGTCTGTTGAAAAAGTAAGGCGAATTTTCACTTTTCCCAAGAAACATTTATTTATTCATCTATTTGTATTTTGTCCCCTTCAAAATAACCCCCCTAAGATATAACACTTGTGCCAGTGTTTTCTCCAATCCTCGAAGCAGTTCTAATAAGCACTTCTTAGTATTTTCTTGAGCTGTCTCAGCGATTCAGTTTTTATCCACTCATCGTCGCAAGATGCCACCTTTTCATGGGTATATTCAATGTTGAGATCAGAAAACAGTCTTAGAGGACCAAATCTGGTGAATACGGTGGCTGGGGCATGATTACGGCGTTTTGTCCAAAAATTACAAACACGCAATGACGGGTGAGCAGGTGCATTATTGTGATGCGAAAGCCATGAACTGTTTTTCCATAATACCGGACGTTTTCTTCGTACTGCTTCTCCCAAGCGGCACATTAGGTTAGTTAGGCTAGGCCCAAAGTGAGCGGGTCTGTTTGACCCTCCACCGCAACTCGCAAAGGTTTATTGTGGATCACACCTATTCATACTCGGCCAAATAAACCCAGATTCTTAACGAAGCCGATTAGTTTGTACGGTGAGTGGTCTTTCAGGTCAGATGGTAAGAGTCCGGCTCTGCCAAACTTTGAAAACCTAATTCGATCCCCAGCGGGACTGGCACATCATTTTCCAAACAGAGGCAACACAGACTGTCTTCCGACAGTCCGAGTCTATGCATATGATGATTCAAATGACAGTGACCGGTAAGAAGGCCGTAGTTCATACTGAATATTATAGTCCCACAACTGTTTGGTATCAAGATTCCAAGGGTGAATAAACGCCTTAGAGTGAGCCATTCCTGGAAGATTCTGCCAGAAATCCATAAATCTTCTTGCCATCCAGATGTTCAATCTTCATTTGGCAAAGCCTAAAGCGATGCCAATGACAGGTTCTGGTCCTATGAAGCTGCTTGTCGCACCCTCCTTTGCAAGGGAGTCAGCAGCCTCATTGCTTTTCAGACAAGTATGGCCAGGAATCCAGACCAGAGACATCGGTTAGGTCTTCCTATCGGGGAAAGTCGTTTTTGGCAATTTGCTAACAATTTAGACACATTGCTCCGTAGGAGCCAAGAGCTTCCAACGCCGCATGACTGTCCGAGAACATTTTCATTGACTTGTGTATAACGTTGGATTCTTTCAATCTCTCCGCACACAATTCAGTACCGTTAATTTCCGCTTGAAATATAGTCGCATAGGTTCCTAGGCAGGTTGATATCTCTGTCCTGGGTTTGGGACTGAAAACGCCTGTACCAGAACCGGAAGGTGTTTTTGATCCATCTGTGAACCAACAAATATCTGCGCCTAATATTTCCTTCTTCCGGAGGATCCAGTCTTCTCCACTCGGGAACAGTACTTCATGAGGCAGTTCGTAGTTGACAGTTGGAGGCATAAAGTCAGAGGTCATTTCCAGAATGCTGTGATTTCCAGAGTCAACCAACAATCTGTTGCACTCTGCATTAAGTTGATGTGTGCAATTGGCAATGTGCACAAGTCTATATACAGTCAATCAGCGTATTTCTTCAACAGAATATACCTCATTCGGAAAAAATTGAATGGCATAAGCCAACTGATATGCCGACGTCCTCAGCATCTTCTCCGATAGTGATTCGACGATTTTCCATAACAATTTTCTTCACTTTCTCAACACTTCCATCGATTATGGCTGAGGCGTCCAGGGCGAACGTCGTCATTCACATCTTCTCGACCTTTTGTGTGAAAATCTTGTACTTGTACTAACTTTGATTCAGTTTTTTCGATAGTAGAAAATCGCCGAACACGCATAACACTTTTAATTTTTATGCCTTTCACCAACAAAATAAACATGTTAAACAGCTGAAAGTGTGAACATATGTTCCGGACGAGTGTACCAACATGAAAAAATCGCTAATCGACTGTATGTAGCCCGCGAAATTTGAACATTCAATTTATTTTTTGAACAAACCTCGTATATATACATTTAGGGTGTGAATTACATCAAAATAGCCTGAATAACACATACAAGTTTGTCCAAACATATACAATACATACGAATACTGAAGAGAGACAATACACATAAAAGAAACAATACCGAAAAAGTTTCAAATATTGAAAATGCAGTATAACATACTTTATAATATATTGAAAATAATCTACAAGTGTCAAAAATAAATTGGAAAAAACTGTGATCGTGTGAAAATCCATAATAGTGGTATTCAGCAATGTTATAAACAACACAAATTTTCTACACTCTTACATTATTAAGTTCCACTATTTTGTCTTAATAAATGCTAACAGAAGATTCAAGAAGACTAGAAGGAAATTATTAAGTTTATATCTACAAAAAGAAGATTTACAAACCTTGGGTCTATAGTGAACATGTATATTATGTAGTTTTTCTAATATAACATGCATGTTATATTAGAAAATGTGGCATGTTTCAAAACATACTATTAATTTGAATTGAAGGGGTTATNAATTCATATGAAATGAATATTTCGAAATATTATTCTCTCCCAACTACCTACACAGTAAGGTGTGGTAAACGTCTGTCGGAAAAACCACTACTTCCCCGGCTAATATCACGCGGGATATTGAATTATATCCGACACATCCCGTGGGTTGGGCTACCTATCGGGCGCGTCCCTGGGTGGCGGATAGGGAAACGGCCAGGGGACTGTAGGGCCTGTCCGGGAAGCCAATGTGGCCTTACGGACGGGGTCGCCGGACTCCTGGTCAGTGGCAGAAATAAGTAAGGTGAGGGGAACTAAAACTCCCCAAGAGCCTTTGCTAAATATGCCACCGCAGGTTGATATGCGGTCACGAACGATCACCTTGAGGAATTGGGCGAAACCTCATTGTAATCAGCCTACCTCTGGTAATGCGAGGCTTTGCCAGAGGTGACAAACTCTTTCCTTGCTACTCGTGGGAACACACATGAATGAAACAACACAAACCAATCCCGAGGCTGGACAGAAGAGCTCACCTCAATCTAACGCAGTGGCTGGGGATGAACAGAAATGTCCACTCCAATCTACCGCTTGGATGAACAAATAACAGAAGTACTAACTTTTGAAACAAGAAACTCAAACCAAGCTGATAAAACTGCAGTTAAATTTTTAGGGGTTTATATTGACACACATTTATCGTGGGTAGAACATATAAATAACATATGTACCAGGCTGAGTAGGTCAACATACGCAATTAAAAGATATGTGAACCAGAACGCAGCCTTCACTACATATCATTTTCTTTTTCACTCAGTTCTAAGATCCATATCTTAGAATAATAATATCCTGGGGCAGTGCATCAAAGTGTCATCTGGAAAAAGTGTTTATCCTGCAGGTATAACTTCTGCCAGATGGGATGAAACGTGCCGTCCAATATTTGAAAATCTCAAAATAATGACACTGTATTCAGTCATTGTTTATGAAAACCTACTACATATTCGATTAAATATAAATAATGATACCGATGGTACAGACATACACCATCATGATACAAGAAATAAATCAGACCTGGTCATGCAAGCAAATAGACTGAAAAGGACTGACAATATTGGCCTTAAGCTATACAATAATCTGCCACTAGACTTTCGCAATTTGTCATTCAATAGATTTAAGTACTTTCTGAAGTTTTTCTTAACTGAAAATCCTATGTATGATATCAATGAATTTTATGGAAGTCTCCAATTGAATAGAGATGTCTTCAATGTGGACACCTAAATAATAGGTATGTTCCCAGTTGACTGATATGTATGTGTATTGTAATTTAAATCAAATGTTTGTACTGAACTTCTTAACGATCTTGATATTCTTGATGATCTCGATATATTTTTTTAACCTTATGATTATCTTCTAATTCTCAAATTCCATCATGCAATGTAATTTGTTTTAATGAGTATGTTGATTTGTTTCGATGAGTATGTCTTCGTATTTTTCTTTCTCAATTCATGACCACTGTTGATTGTGGAATCTTAACATGTATATAGCCTGATTTCAATTGCGTTATTTGTTTTGACATGTCTATAAACCTTGTGTTTCTCAAGACGAATAAAGATATTATTATTATTATTGTTATTAACAGCAAGGGAACTTCCTGCGGCGGGCGCCAATAGATCCGCCTTGAATAAAGGCAAGGAACCGGCTGCCCCTGCAGGAAAGCTCCCTCACTTGAGCACCTCCACGGAGGGAACCCCAAGAAAGTTGAAGAAGCGGCGCGACGACAGTGATATCGCTGCACCTTCCAAAACCTTCGCGGAGGCCACCGTGAGACACTTCAAGGTTGCCAAAGAGAGTGTGTGTTCGGCGAGTCTTGGCCTACACCTGCCGATATAAAGGATATGTCTTCTAGTGACCTGTTCACTTTCCTGGAAAGGACAGTATGGACGACGACCTAGGAGGATAGAGAGTGTGTGTTCGGCGAGTCTTGGCCTACACCTGCCGATATAAAGGATATGTCTCCTAGTGACCTGTTCACTTTCCTGGAAAGGACAGTATGGACGACGACCTAGGAGGACAACTCCTCGGAAGGATGTACAATGGGTCACATGTGGCATAAGTGCTGTGGGTCTACACTCATCCTCCCTACTATACAGATACCAGATCCGACAGATAATTATGCAAGATTCCTCACAGAGGCTAGTCTCGCAGATGTTTCTCTTCCATCCCCCAGCAGGACCATGCTGAAATTATTCAAGTAGATCACCTGCAGACCGCGGATTCGAGGTATTACCTCTAGTCAGTACAGAAAAGATCCTACCCAGCCAGTAGAGTGTCTGGGGCACTTTTAGTTTCAACACGGCTTCGCTACATATATGTCATGTTCGTCTGAGAGAAAGATTGTTAACTAGTAACAACTCCATCTCGTGAACAAAGCTCCAAGCGGGGAACAAACATCCCAAAACTCAATAGAAATTGAAAGTAAAAATGATCGAGGAGAGATAAATTTTGAAATATTGATTTCCAATTACCTACACAGTGGGGGTGTGGTAAACATCTGTTGGAAAACAAATTTCCAATAATTAGAAAGTTCTACAGTCTGATACGACACCTGGTGGAAATAATGGAACTACTGGTACAGTCTCAGACTAGTAAAACATGCAAATGAATAGCTCCGCCCATTTCCTTTGATGATTGTGTATTTACCGCCTCATTAACCTCCAGCAGGGTTATTCTGTCAGAAGTTATAAAAAAGTTATAGCTTTAACCGGCAGAGCTACAACAGTATAATAGGTTCAATGTCTGACATTTTCCCTATAACTGCGGTAGAATTCATCAAAGGCAATAATGCAACGGTCTGTAGGGGAAATTAGATCACTTGGCAACCTGGATGGCAAGAAGATTTATGGACTTCTGGCAGAATCTTCCAGAATTAGCTCACTTCAAGGCGTTTATTCACCCTTCGAAGTTTGATACCAAACAGTTGTTGAACTACAGTAGAGACGAACTACGATGTCTAACAGGCCTTCTTATAGGTCATTGTCATTTGAATCATCATATGCAGAGAATCTGACTGTCAGAAGACAGTGTGTGTCGCGTCTGTTTGGAAAATGATGAAACAGCAGAGCACATACTTTGTGCCTGTCCCGCTTGGGCCCGAATCAGGTGTTTGGAGTTCGGCAGAGCCGTACTTTTATCACCTGACCTGAAAGACCACTCGTCATACAAACTAACCGGCTTTGTTATAAAAACAGGGTTTATTTGGTCGAGTGTGAATAGGTGTGAGCCACAATAAACCCTTGCGGGTTGCGGTGGGGGATCGAATAGACCCACTCACTTTGGACCTAACCTAACTTAACCTACATAGTATTCAGCTACATTTCCTAAAAAACTGTATCAAAAGTTGTTGCAAATATCGAGGATACTTTAATTTTTTTTCATTTCAACACATTTACGCTAAATATTTCGCTTCCTCAATATACTGAAAACAGGATATTGAAAACAGTTGTGTTACAATACTAGCAGTTAACAATGAAGTAATTTCATATCCACTTCATTTTAAACTCTATGAAAAACTAAATAATTTATATGAATTCAAAAACTGATGTCAAAGAAATTTTTTGACAGTGAATGCACAGAAAACAGTTTGTATGCATTTCTATTCTAGGTAGAGATATCTCTGGTATTCAACTGGTTGTCATAAATAGTACTATTCATCTTTCTGAACCTTTAACTTAGATAGTATAATGAGTTGGGAGAACAGTATTGATGCCATAAGCAAAGAAGTGAACACAGGTTATTATGCTATAATACGATCAATAGCATCTTCCATAGCATCTTCATGGCTCTACTCAATCTGAACGTTTTATCTTCTTGTTTGTTCTTTTATAAGGATAGATCGTCTGGGTGAATTTGTTATTATTGTTGATGGTTCATTAATTAGGGCTTGGGCAGGTATTTGTCTTCTCCTTTCATTCGGATGTCTCATTGAATTTGCCTGTACTTATCCTTTGTGTTGGTGTTTCTCTAGTTTAATTATTTCTAGGAATGTGTATTGTATTGGTTACTATATTGAATGATATATCTTGTTGTGTTTTGATTTGTATTTGTTCCTTGATAAGTGAATTTTGACTTTTGAATTTATGGATGTTTAGGTTTTCTCAGATGTTCATATGGTTTCCTTTATTGACGTGTATATAATGAACCGAAACCGTGTTAGGAATCACACGTTGAAAGGTAAGACCTCGTTAGTCCTTAGCTCGCACAAGTTTCTCAACTTCTGAGAGTTGCCGTCCGTATGGAGGTGACAGCTGATTAACGGAAAACAGACTTCAAACAGAACAGATCGTAACAAGTAAGTATCGTAAGTGGAAATTAGACAAAAATTATTTTGTTTATCCTATATTCAATACGATTTTCTACAAAATGAATAGGTCATCAATCGAACACCTCAAATCTAAAATGTATAGTGCTTCATTTAAAAAAAAGTCATCAAATCTTCTGGGTTAGACTAAACCTAAAGAGAAAACGGCAGATTCAGCAACCCAACCTAACAAAAGTGGAACCTATGTAATACATATTCATTTGTAACTGTTTCTAATCTTGGGCTGTAAAGAATTCATGTCAGTTTGAAAATGAACAGGTAGAATTTGTAAACCAATTACAATCTGTTCTTGGATGGTAGGTCAATTTTGTGATACCATGGAGAATTTGTAAAACATTTAATAGCTCAGTTTTTGAACAGCAGGTACATTTTTGAATATGAATAAAATTATTGGCCTAATGAAAAATGGTTTAACAATGGTGTTAGGAATCACACGTTAAAAGGTAAAACCTCGTTAGTCCTCAGCTCGCACAAGTTTCGACTTCTGAGGGTGGTCGTCCGTAGGGGGGAGACAGTAGGACGGAAAAACAGATTTCAACAGTGGAATATCCTGTATGCTTCAGAATATTTTCGGCCGTTCATAATATTTGACACATACATGCCGTTGAACGTCTCACTCTATATGGAACTCGAATACTCGTGAAGCGGGTATGAATTATTATTAATTTTCTCCCGGTCTAACCTTTCGCTAACATTCATCCTTCACATCAGTGTCGGCTCATGCATTGGACAACAGGGGAGGCTAAAGTCATAAAGACTATATATATACAGAAAAGCCCGCCGGAGGCGCGAAAATTTTTTGGGGTACCGCACCTATTTAAAGCAAAATACGTAATATTTGCATGAATGCAAACAAAAATTGTGTATTGCCGAAAATTATACGTATAAAACTGACCATTAACCATTAAAAAAAACAAGAAAAAACGGTTGTCTTTGAGTTTATTTAATAAAAAACAAACGCAGTCGTACACTAACGGAGACCAACTGGAGGCTAGCCTCCTCTAACGCTATAATTTCCGCAACTGAAATTACAAATCGTGACGTATGTCGCTGGTTGGTTCGGTCTAGCGGAGCTTGTGTTTTTAAAGCGGTCGGAGGCTTGGCTCCCTTGCAACGTATGGCATTTATTATTTCGGGATGATGGTTTATTCGTTACTCTCTCATGGGCGGTGCGTTTGACGTTTGTTGATGCAGGGTACAGTGTGGTACGTACTACGTAGTGAGTGATAGTGTTTTTTCGGACATATTATGTATTTATATTGAAAATTAATGGTAAAGTAATGATAACCCAGCATTTTCAGAGGAAAAAAATCATAATTATTTGTTAATATCTTTCAATTTATTGCGATGAATAGCCTCAAATTTTATGGGGAGGCTAAGCCTCCCTTGCGTATTCAAANGGAGTCCCTACCCGAACAAAGTTTAGCCTTTCAGATTAGTGTTCCAAACAGATTTCAAAGTTTAATTCAATTTCAACAGAGTTCAGCACGAATTCGAAAAAAGTCTCCACCCAGTTTCTGTTAAACAGGAATGCCAACAGGAATAGGAAAGTTGAAAAAGGATAATAAAATACTTTATTAACAAAAATATACAAAACATAAATAAACTAAAAATTAAAATTAACAAATGTTTAGTTTCTTCATTTGACGATAATCAGGTTGCATCAGTAGAGAAAGAGAAGTTAATGTTTGCTGTTACAATAATCCTTCAAAGATTTGCCGGAAAGAGTATAGTAGTTTTGCTATTTATCCTTGTTATATATTTTCCAGTAATATTTATCAATATGTTACCTGAAGAGCTGTCCTCGTAGGAATTGGCGTGGTTGTCGTTTTTAACGGACTTTTCTGGTGAAGCAATAAAATCCCAAAAAAACAAAATTAGAAAAACACCACATAATACGTTATATAGTTTAAAAAGATGTAACACAAACCAACAAACACCATGCATAACAAACGAAAATAAACAAAAGATAAACAAAAAAAATAAGTATAACATTCAAAATGCATCAGCAGATTAGTTAGATTTGGTGATTTTTCACCTTGCAATAATACCAACGTCTGACTGAGTCAACTTTTGGTGACACTAATAAAATATCCCAATCAACCAGTGCAAACGTGAGAATAGAAAATTATCCTGCTAGATAACAATAGGAACAATTGGGATACTTTATTCTCAAAATTAATGGCCAATCGATCAATGCAAATTTACTGCTGGAGTAATGCATGCAATTTTTTCACCTCGGTTGGTTGGTGTCGAATCTTCTGATAATATATCGTTTTTTCGTATCAATGGTAAATGATGAATCATGACAGATTTTACGAAAAATTAATATCCATCACTAAACAGAAAAATCGTTGTGGAAATGGCGTACTAGTTTTTTTCTATCCAAAATAGACTTTCGCCTTCAAGTCTTTAAGAACCGCCACATGAAGGGAAAAAAACAAAAAAAATATACAAAACTGTGGTTTTCTATTGACCCACAGACGGATAGTGGAGGAGGGCAAAAGGGATTTTTGATATCATTTTTTTACTTTATTCAAAGTCGAATCAACCTCCATGGTTATTAGCGACTGAACAATGCATTAAGTGCAGGAAAATTACATAATGTATTTCTCTTTAATCTAAGTTTTGATAAAAAAAAATTATTGAGAGAGGAATATATTTTTACTGCAAAAAGTTTGTTCTTGAGTTATATATTAAAGAATAAGAAGTAATACGACAGTAATGGAGCATATTAATGACTTCCATACTTCCTCTTAATATTTTTCAAAATAATAGATTATAAATTATTCGAGAGTATTAGGATAAAATGATATTATGCAATTGGTCTATTGAAATAATAGTTTCTTCACAAATACTAGAACAGAGAGAAAGCAACTTAGATAACTTAATGAAATTGTTACATATTTTTATTACTTGTTTCTTGAAAATGTCGACTTCAATCTCGAATTTTCAACTTAGGACTCGAACTCTCGATATTGAAGTCGAAACTTCGAGATTCAAGTCGAAATTTAGAGATTAAAGTGAAAGTTTCGAGATCAAAGTTGAAAATTTGAGATTTAAGTGGAAACTTCTAGTTTAAAGTCGAAACTTCGAATTTGAAGTCGAAACTTCGAAATTAGGTTGAAACTTCGAATTTAGAGTCGAGGTTTCGAGGATGAAGTTGAAATGTTGAGATCAAAGTAGAAATTTCGAAATTAAAGTCGAAATTTTGATATTGAACTCGAAATTCCTAGATCACAGTCGAAAATTCGAGTTCAAAGTTGATATTAAACTTCGAGAATAAACTGAGGATACACTACAAAAACACACTTTTGTCTATTTTCTATTTACAATGTATGGATATGGGGTATGGTGCTACAAATCGTACGCTGAAAGGTAAGACCTCGTTAATAACTCAGCTCACAAAAGTTTGGACTTCTGAGAGTTGTCATTCTTAGGGACAAGCGACAGCTGGTTAACGGAAGAACATATTTGAAGATATGGCATATAATTTTGTTGCGGATTTCACGTTGCACAAGTATAACAAAGACTTATCAACATACTTTGTAGGGAAATGGTTGGTTGCCTTTTAAAATAATTTCTGGATGTTACCGACATTTAATTTTTGCTTCCCACCTACAAAGTTCCAGAAGTAACAAAAAACAAAACATCAAAATGAAACAAAAGATAAACCCGTTCTCAAAACCTCAAGTTTCACTACCTACGCTCTGTCATGATACATCAGAAATCCCGTAACACTCAACCTACCTTTGGAGCTAATGACGTCACTCCAAGTCTTACCCTTCTGATGCTCGATGTTGCACTCGTCATCGACATATTTGACATCGATTCTTTGGAATTCGCCCGCTTCAAACCACTAGGCGGTAGACCAGGACCTCCTTGGTGAACCTGACAACTACTCGGCCTTACTTTTGAGGGAGACTTACTGACCTTTGAAATCGGAGCAAACAGCCCGAAGTTTGGTCGACATTCGAAGTACCTTAAATAAAAGTTATACTGAAGTTACATGATACGACAGTGGTATGCTTTGACATGTTTTTTCTTGCTAGTTCTAATTATTGAAATATAGACCGAGAGCTTTTTGACTTATCTTACTTGACTCTAAAATATTTGAAATGTTGGAGGAATTCATAAATAGTATACATGATTATTGCAAGCAGGAGTTTGCGTGCAGAAATTCAGATTTCACGGAAGTAATTCCAAGGATACTAATGAAATTGTAAACATTTTTGAGAAATATGAACCTACTTATCAGGTTGATTCAAAAGTTTCGTCCGATTCAATGTCATGTGTTTTTGTAGCTCCATATCTCAATAATGTTTAGCTCCTCTCCACATTTTTCTGGAGAGAGAAAGAGGCTAGATGGACTGCATATAGACTTGTGCAAATTGCCAATTGCACAAATCAATTCCATGCAGAGTGCAACATACTGTTGGTTGGCACTGGAAGTCACAGCATTCTCGAAATGACCTCTGAATGTATGCCTCCAACTGTCATCTACGAACTGCCTAATTAGGTACTGTTCCTGAGTAGAGAGAGAGAGAGGACTGGATCCTCTGGAAGAAGGAAATATTAAGAGCAGATAGTTGTTGGTTCACAGATGGTTCTGGTGCAGGTGTTTTGGGTTGCAGACCCAGGATAGAGATTCCAAGCATACCTTGAAAACATTTGTAAACATTTTTGAGAAATATGAACCAACTTATCAGGTTGATTCAGAAGTTTCGCCCGATTCAATGTCATGTGTTTTCGTAGCTTCATATCAAATATTAAGAGCAGATAGTTGTTGGTTCACAAATGGTTTTGGTTCTGGTGCAGGAGTTTTCGGTTGCAGACCCAGGACAGTAATTTGAACCTGTCTAGGAACCTATGCGACTGTACTTCAAGCGAAAATTTACGCTTTTGAAATGTGTGGAAGAATCCAACCTCATACACAAGTCAATACAAATATTCTCGGACAGTCAAGCGGCTTTGGAAGCTCTTGGCTCCTACCGAACAACCTCTAAATTGGTGGCGATAGAAATATTTAACAGATTGTCTCTGGTATGGCTTCCTGGGCATACTGGCCGGGAAGGCAATGTGGCTGTTAGCCCCATTGCAAAGGAGGGTGCTGCAAGCAGCTTCATCGGACCAGAACCTCTCATTGGCATCGTTTTAGGCTTTGCCAAACAAAAATTGAACACCTGGATGGCAAGAAGATTCATGGACTTCTGGCAGAATCTTCCAGGATTGACTCACTCCAAGGCGTTTATTCACCCTTCGAAGCTTGATACCAAACAGTTAGTGGACTACAGTAGGGGTGAACTACGATGTCTAACATGCCTTCTTAGAGGTCACTGTCATTTGAATCATAGAGACTCGGACTGTCGGAAGACAGTGTGTCTTGCCTCTGTTTGGAAAATAATGGAACAGCAGAGAACATACTTTGTGCCTTCCTCGCTGGGGACCGAATTAGGTTTTTAGAGTTCAGCAGAGCCGTACTCTGTTGAACTCTAACTCTGACCAGAAAGACCACTCACTATACAAACTAATCGGCTTCGTTAAGAATAGACCCACTCACTTTGGAACTAACCTAACGTAACCATATTATGTCATTAGGTAATTTTTCTCAAGAGATCGAATTGAACCGGAGCGCTGACGAAACAGCACTGAAATTAACCAGGTATTTGGCATTGATAGTGTTAATAAATGCGTTGTTCGACGTTGGTTTGCGCAATCTTCCGGAGATTTTTGAAATTAGCCCCGACCTAAAGTAATCCAAGAGGAGTATTTGAGGACCCTGGTGGAGACTGACCCATCACAAACAGTGCGCGGTATGGCGGAAGAACTGGGCGCCAGTTCCCATACGGTTTTTTGGTTTGAAACGTATTGTAAAGGTTCAAAAGCTCGGTAAGTGGGTGGCCAACGATTCGAAAGATCGACAGAAATTGTCCTGATTCGAGGTTTGTTCTTTTCTTTTGCGCAACCAACATGATCCTTTTTTTGATTCTCTAAGACAACAGGAGACATTCAAGACAGTGGTGGAACAGCGATGAGCCACCCAGGCACTTCCCAAAGGTAAAAACTCACCAAAAAAAGACCATGGTTATAGTGGTCAGCGCTGGTGTGATTCACTGGCCTTACCATCACAGCAGAGCTCCATTGTGAGGAAATCGCCGAATTGTGCCAGAAATTCAGCAGCAGCCGACACTCGTCAACAGAAGAGGTCCGATCCTGCTCCACGACAACGCCCGTCCGCACGCTTCACGAATCACCATTCTAAAATTGAATCAAGTTGAGGGTCGAAGTTCTGTTACACCTACCAATATCCTCAGCACTTCGATAACTTTCTCACCGGTAAAACTTTCGCCAATCAGGACCAGGCATTAACGGCTCTCGTCGACTTTATCGACTCTCGAGCGAGCAATTAATCGACTTGTGTTACGTTGGCAGAAGTGAAACAATTTAAAGGGCGCTTATCTTGAATACATTGAAAAAATATTCACTGATATATTTCAGTTTGAAGACAATCATAAAAGCGGACAAAACTTTTGAAACAACCTAATAAAATAAAACAGTTCTACAAATTTATTGAGGGGCTTTTCTATTCGATTCCTGCCGCTTGTAATTTTGTATGTAAATCGTGGTAACAAATTTTCAAAGTGGAGAGTTTTATTTATAGATATAGAATTAAAAGCCCAATTTACAATATGAACTAACAATGTTTGTTCAAAAATGGTTGACAATATTCTATGGTGTATTTTCCTAATTCGGACTTCCATTGTCTAATATGATTCTAATATGATATGAAATCACTGGAAGAACAAATAAAACTAAAATGAATAGCTAAAATATCAATTACATCAAGCAATAAAATGTGAAATGAAATTACAATAAACCAAGCTAATAATCAGAGTACAAAGTAACCAAAATAAATTAACAAAATTGAAAAAATATTTCATATCAAGGCGATTGTTAGTATCCACAATCGCCTTTGGGTGATAACTGGACTATTCCTCCGAGAGATGATTGTGTTCATATATGCATCCATTTTCAACCACATCCATATCGATTTCAACATGTTTTTATATATTGTTACTACTACGCGTATTTTACAATTGTGATTTTATGTTTGTATGATTTTATATTTAAATAATATTATATGTTAGCTTTTTTGAACTTCCTCTTTAACCAATGTTCCTCCCTGTGGATGACCTCAGCTTTGGACCACTTGCCGTTATGTTGATGAGTCCAAACTTGCTCTGCTATTCCCGAGAATAGCATAGCAGAATAGCATGTGTAGAGGAGCAGGACAGAATAGCATGTTCTGCTATCCCCGTGACTAGCGGAGCATGTTTGGACTCATCAACATAACATCAAGTGGTCCCAAGATAAGAAAATCCACAGGTAGGAACATTGGTTTTAGAGGAAGTTCAAAGAAGCTGCATGAAGGTTATCCAACGTCTGCGTTTCTCTACGCAGCCAAGCAAGCGTAGAGTGATTGCGAAGTAACTTGGTTTGGTTTTGTTTTCAATTTTTTGATTTCTCTTACAATCGTTCAATTTTTTGCTTAGTTTTATTTTATTTCATTTCTATTTCTTTGTACTCTGTGGCCATTTTCATCTTCAACCTTATTCACATGAGATTGCTTGATATAACCGATGATGCAGCTATTCATTTTAATTTCACTTATTCTTTCAGACATTTCAAATCATATTAGAAACATATTAGACAATGGAAGTTCTAACTAGTAAAATAAACCAACAAGATTACAAAATAATTCGGACTAACCTAACTCCATTGACGGATCCGTCATTTTTTCCTCGAGGGTCGTCTAATTCGACTCCTACCCATTCTCCAGGTGCGAACTCAGTTGTTCCTATAAATCTGACTGTACCAACTTTGGAACCTTGTCCACTTTTGATGATCACTCGATCACCTATTCTGTAATCAATCACGTGGGATGTTGTTGAAGTCATACTAGCTATCGAACCAGCTAAAAATAAAAGCAATAGCGATTAAACATGTGAAGCGAGAATTTACTTTTCTGATAACTCACCGACTGATGGAGGAGTCCGGAACAACCCCTTAGTGCTTCCGGTAGGAGAAATGGGGCTTCTCCTGGTGCCATTACCTACAGGAGATGGAGTCGTAGCGTAGGTTTCTCCAGAACCCATACCTTCTTGGGCTAATGGTACTCTTGTGAGCCTGGTCAATCTCGAAAAAACTCCTTTCTTCGGTTCACATTGAAAGTATCGTATCCCTCCCACTGAACCGTCGTTCTTACCTAAAAATCAGAGGTTCAACATTCCGTAACGGGCGGGACCATTCTAGATTACCGATTGGTTCATCTAAAGCTATACCGGCCCATTCTCCTGGCGCGAATTGGGTTTCGCCAATGAAGGCAATGTGACCCGGTTTGGTACCCGAAACCCATACTCGTTGGCCTATTATGAAACTGTCGGTATCTTCGGTGAGGACAGCACTGGAATCTGATTAAAATACAAATTATAAGATATATTTTGATGAATCTTTTCTACAACCCAGACAATTCCGAAGATCACATATTGAAAGCATTTTTTCATTTTAGTGCAAAGACGTTTTCAGTAAACTGATATCTGGCTGACCATCTTGTTCATTCATATTATTTACAGGACTATTCATCTATAGAGTATTTGGATGCTGTTTTTGATTCGAGGGCAGTCATAATTGTATGTTTATCAAGTCATATGAATAGTAACAGTGGTAAATAATTTCCAAACAAGGATAAACTCCAAATATTCCTGGATTTTTATATTAGCACCTCGGAAAGTTGTTGCGAAGTGAACTTACAGAACGCCAATGGAAAAAAAGGGAAAATTGATTGTATTATTGGTCGGATTCCACAAATACCATTTCTCTAAAGGCGGATTTCCACCAAACGGACTCGCTTGCGACTAGTTTCGTTACCAAAAACAGAAACGAAAAAAACACGAACAGTTTTCATCGTGCTTTAATAATCGATTGTACGTATTTGTCAGATTTCACAAATCCCATTTTCCTAAAGGCGGATTTCCACCAAACGGACTCGCTTGCGGCTAGTTTCGTTACCAAAAATAGAAACAAAAAAACACGAACAGTTTTCATTATGCCTCAAAAATTGATTGTACGTATTTGTCAGATTTCACAAATACCATTTCCCTAAAGGCGGATTTCCACCAAACGGACTCGCTTGCGACTAGTTTCGTTACTAAAAACAGAAACAAATAAACACAAACAGTTTTCATCGTGCTTTAAAAATTGATTGTACTTATTTGTCAGATTACACAAATACCAGTTTCCTAAAGGCGGATTTCTACCAAACGGACTCGCTTGCGACTAGTTTCGTTACCAAAAAACAGAAACAAAAAAACTCGCACGGTTTAAATCGTGCCTTCTCTAGGAAATTTTTCATCAAAATGAGTGTTCTGTTCGAGCAACGTACCGCGCGCTACGCCCATTTTACGGTTGCTATAATCGTCCTACGAGAGGACTATTCGCAATGTGGTGGATAAATATGAGTCGGCTAGAGTCGGCTAGAGTCGGCAATGCGATTACCTTTATCCCTATTGTGCCCTTTAATCGACCTCAGGATAATATTATTATCTACCGAGGCTTAACTGACCCAGTAATTGAAGGTAAACGACCATAGACAAAGACGTGTGTTCGCTGAATGGGCCATGGACCAATTGGCAACGCCCGTTTCTGGATGAATGGGGACGTGAACAAACGAAATTGTCGAATTTGGGACGATGCCAATCCATACGAGATCCAAGAGCGTCCAACGCGTTCCGAGGTCGAGGATCACCAACTTCCTTTGGCCTGAATTGGACAATCTCGACACACACGAAATGTGGCTCCAACAAGACAGCACTATGTGCCACACAGCTCATGCCACATTGGATATGCACGAGCGATTTGAGGGCATGGTTATCTCACGTGGAGGTGATGTGAACTGGCCACCGAGATCGTGCGATTTGACCCCGTTAGAATTTTTTGTGTGGGGTTTTCTTGAGTCGCAGGTGTACGTGATTAATCCACAAACCACAGCGGTCCTCAGAGCCAACATACTCCATGCCATCGATCAAATTCAGCCTGATTTATGCACCAGTCACGGAAAATTGAAAGTTACGGATGCGCTTCACTCAGAGAAGCCGTGGCGGATATTTGAACGATATAATATTCGTGAACTACATATGACGATTTGATCTCCAGCTTCTTGACGAAGCCGATTAGTTTGTATGGTGAGTGGTCTTTTCGGTCAGATGGTAAGAGTACTCCTCTGCCGAACTCTAAAAACCTGATTGGATCCCCAGCGCCGCGGACATAATGTATGTGCTCTACTGTTTCATCATTTTCCAAACAGAGGCTCTATGATTCAAATGACAGTGACCTGTAAGAAGGCTTGTTAGACATCGTAGCTTGATACCAACAACTGTTTGGTATCAAGCTTCGAAGGGTGAATAAACGCCTTGGAGTGAGCCAATTCTGGAAGATTCTGCCAGAAGTTCATAAATCTTCTTGCCATACAGGTGTTCAATCTTCGTTTGGCAAAGCCTAAAGCGATCCCAATGACAGGTCCTGGTCCGATGAAGCTGCTTGCAGCACTCCTTTGCAAGGTTTATTGAATGACTAACAATCTTCAATGACTAACAATCTTCATAAAGTAACGGCCGAATCAATAAGGAAAATATATTATATTCCACCAATAGGTCTTTTTGAGATATCTCACACACACTTCGTTTAATTTAAATTTGAAGATAGGAAGCGCTTGATGAAGGATCCTATATAACCAAAGATAATCTGCCGAAGTAGCAGACGGTACATTTGGTACTGCAAGTTCCATTCGATCTCAGCTTACCAACTGTAGAGTTCAAAACTGTATTTGCTGGGGATTCAAAACCAAAATTCCAAACTCAAATTATGCCAAATACTCATGCATATGTATACAAAACTTCAACATAAACAAACACAGGGGTAAATGTGGATAAATGTGTCATTTGATCCTATATTTTAATGAATTGAACTGAAATTACTTGAAAGGCTCGGGTAGGTGAATTTTTCAGTACCAAAATGATTGAAGAGGGCAGAATCCTGGCTGATAGGCCGTGGTCGACATATCGACATTGAATTGATGTGACATACAGTGTGTAAAAGCCAGATAGAATAAATTTACTCTTTCGGTAACTGTACATATTTAAAAAAAAACCGAAACACATCAAATGTAAATTATAATATTACATTCTTCAATGTGAAAATGCCACGCCTACCTTTATCCCCCTTTGAATGGCAGGTACAACCCCCAATTTTTTAAATGGGAAGTATAGGTTTGTGATATATCGTTTGAATGGTCTCTTCATTTTCTATTCAAAAATGTTACCGCTTTCGAATTTTTTTCAACAATTACGATAAAATAAATTAAAATAATGTGCTTACCGAAATTCGATAAAATACACTCAAAAACAAAAATCCAATGCAAAAGTAATGAAATGTAGGATACGAAAAAGAACTATGGATGTCATTCAAATCTGAAGGTCTAATTTTGTACACATTGCTTTTTACATATCCCCATGAAAAGAAATCTAATGATGAAAGATCAGGTGATCGCGCAGGCCATTAAATCGATTTTTGCCTCCCTATCCACCGATTGGGAAATGTTGCTTCGAGGTATTGCTGGTCATCAAACTTGGTAATGTAGTGGTGCTCCATCCTGCTGAAACCATATCGTAATCCCTGGAACTTGAGGGTTTCCTGGATCAAGATATAAATTTGCTAAATTTGGAATGACATCATTTTGAAGTAATGCCAAATAATTATCGCCATTCAAGTTGCCCTCAATGAAAAAGGGACCAATGATAGGGTTTTCTACAATTCATACCCAAACATTAACCTTTTGAGGGTTCATCCAGTGAGGATTTTCCGTTGACCAGTAACGGCAATTTTGCCGATTAGCATGACAGTTAAAAGATAAAGTACACTCATCATCAGAAAACATAACGTCTTCTAATTGGATGATATAGTTATCCAACATGTCCACCATTTGCTCACAAAAATAAGTTCTTTTATTAAAATCGTATTCCATGAGCGCCTGAGTAGGTATCATTTTATAGGGATGCATTTTATTTTCTTTTAATATGTTTAATATGCTAACATTAAATGTAGTGGATGCCTGTCTACTTGATGTATGTGGGTTTTCCTCAAACTCAAGCCTCACATCTGATTTGAGTTCATCACTCATTGCATTGGCAGCTGCATTTTTTATCTACCCCACATGTCCAAGCTCGCGAAACTGCTCCTCTATTTTGCTTATTGTTCCTTGAGATATGGGCGGTGAATTAGGAAATTTCCCATGAAATAGGGGAGCTACTTCCTGTTGTGTTCGGGTTTTCTCTCCGTAACCAACTGTTATTTTATGCATTTCCGTTAATCTAACCATTTGTCAGACTTGAAGGTAACGAATTTCAACCTAAATTGAAATACGGACAACTAATGTTGTAGCATGCAAAACAAGTTGACAAGGCGTTTTCAATTAACGTTGCCACGGAAATTATTTACAGTTTTTTAAAGGATACCATCTAAAAAGAAGAACTTTGTTATAGTTTTTGTTTACTTTCCTATTATCAATACCTCAACATGAAATAAGTTTTGAGTATATTGCATTAAGTTTTAAGTGTATTTTATCGAATTTCGGTAACCATATGATTTTAATTTATTTTATCTTGATTGTTGCAGTAAACTTGAAAGCGATAACATTTCTCAATAGAGAATGAAGAGACCTTTCAAACGATATATCACAATCCTATACTTCCTATTTGAAAAATTGGGGGTTGTACCTGTCATTCGACGGGGGTTGAAGATAGGGGTAGCATTTTTTCGTTGAAGTATGTCAAATTATAATTTAAATTTGAAGTGTTTCGGGATTTTATTAAAAAATGTACCGTAACCGAAATAATGAATGTATTCCATTCGGCTTTTACAGACTGTATAGTTTTACTGCAATTAATGATCTTATTAGTTGGATTTATCTTTCGTGATAATTATTTCCAAATTCAAAAACTACACCTCACGATTTGATCTCCACAAACTTCATTTGAAAAATTAATCACAACATGTTTCGCTAGCACAGTAGCTTTGTCAAGTGATTTGAACAAATCGTGAGGTGTAGTTTTTGAAATTACTATGGATCTTCATCAAGTAACGTCCGAATCAATCAGAAAATTATTTCAAAAATTATACTTCAGTAAAATAACATTAACTCGCCATACCAGGCTTTGAACTTGCAGTAAAGAGACATTAGCAAAAATGATATTTGGCAGCCAAGATATAAACAAAAAATGAACTGTGTATACTGGGTGAGCTAGCTACAAGTCACAAAAATACCTTTATAGTTTCAAATAAAATGGTCATATTCATTTTTGTCAGAATAATAACAATTTTATAAATTTTTTAGTTTGGTTCTGCATATTTCGTTACAAAATGTAACATGCAGTAGTATTTTATTATGGAACTTTATATAAATATCGAATGCAACTAAAATTGAATTATGTGGTGTGGTTAGTACTTATTTTACTACTGAAGTGGAGTAACGTTAGTTACAAATATAAGTGGTATAAAAACATAGGAATTTTTAATTCTCATTTTTCATGATTTTTTATCGAAATAATCTGCACAATGCGAGCATTGCTTTTATCTCTTTGAAGAATGATTTCTTTCTGGGCTATAGCAATGCAAGCAGAGCAGTTCACCCATTATAACATTTGATTAATGATATCCAACTATTTGCTCTGAACTTTACAACTTTAGCATACAACTTTAGCTGGAAATGGAGCTTTCGTATTTTGACGATTTATGTGACATAAAATGTAGCTGACCCAATATACAGTGATTCATAGAAATGAAAGAAAAATGAAAGAAATACCTGAGTGACGGCTGAGTCCTGCTTCACTCAGTCGATGATGGTGCGACTCCCACAGAGCGTCCAATGAAGAAGCAGTGCTACTAACTATACAAGCAACACAAAAAGCTACAGATCACATGCACAAGTGCAGACAGTGGTAAAGAGTGCATAACATTATTTACATAACAAACAGAAAAAAAATTCAGTTCATTCACACAAATAATAAAACTATAAACTAAAGACAACCCGTTGTTCAGTAGTACATAACTTAAGTTTGCAATTAAAAAAGCTGTCTGGATGTTTTCAACTGATATCCATGTATTAGAATGTTTTGAAAATTAAAAAAATACTCAAAAAATTCTTCAGGTTATTTTGCAAAACGCAAACTTGTATTATAAAAAAAAGGAATTTTTGGACTAATTTGAAGTCATAAATAAATGATTCAAAAAAAGCCTTGTAGCAGTTTACTATTTTCTTTCTGGGGCAAAACACAAGCACTACAGTAAAATCCTTAATGCACTCTCGGAGCGGTGCCTATGCAAAAGTAGTGATTCACATTGGAAATAAAATAGCTGGAGATTAAATCCATTTGGAAAAATGTTCACAGAAAGTTTATTCCACATCAACGCAGTTCCCCTGCACGTCGTCTTGATTTCAAACAGGTTGGAGCCTGGCTCCCTTACCCTTTGGACTGATGTTTGCCAGAAGGACAAAGGGGTCATAACTGATGCTGAGTGTTGATGGTATGGCGGCATGAATGTCCTCAGACATCAGTACCGCCCTTCACGGTGTACCCCTACCTGGCTGGGGTGAGTTGGATGGAAAAGTTGTTCATCTTTCAATGGAAGATATAGGGGCCTTCTATATCGGGAGGGGTCGTCTACAGTATACTCCATAGCTTTCCCGACCAATGGGTTTTCATGAGTTTCTGCACCATCAAAAACTCTCTGATTTCGCGACTGAATGGACTGCCGAATGGAAGGCAGCTGCAATACCTCCAGAATGGAGATATTATATTTCGCCAGACCCCAGACGCCTGAAGCATACATGATGACAGGCTTGAACATCGTATTATAGATGTTTCTAAGACTCATTTTAGATCTTCTGTTGATCAGAGGGTACAGACGTGCTATCCGACCCTCGATCTTTGATTTGACGCACGTTATGTGCGAGTTCCAAGTGAGCCTACGGTCTATTAGAAGGCCGAGGTACTTTACCCGCGCTTGCCAGTCAATCTCCCTTCCAGAGATTCTCACTTTTCTGGCCGGAGAAGATTTCAGTCATCCCATGGTTATCGCCTGAGTCTTTTCCGGGTTCACTCGGATCTTCCAATCAAGGTACCAGCGCTCGAGGTCGTTCAATGCATGTTGCATGTAGACGACGCTGAGGCCTCGACCCATGGAAGATGAGAGGAGAGCCGTGTCATCGCCGTACAGAGATATCTTCACACTTTTGGGCCTCGGAAGGTCACTGGTGTAAAGTGAGTACAACGTCGGAGAGAGCACGCCCCCCTATGGCACTCCAGCAAGGATCTCTCTGTTATCAGACAGAGATCCCTCTACTCTAACCTGAAATGTCCTGTCTTTCAGGAAAGACCCAATTCACCGGATGAGGCTTCGAGGCAGGTCGAACGCGTTTGATTTGTGCAGAAGACCTTCGTGCCAAACACGGTCGAAGGCCTTCGAGATGTCAAGTAGCACAATGTGCACTTTTTTGTTGGAATTAGGCTTTTTGATGGTGTTTTCGACCAGCCTTAGAGCCTGTAACTAAGTGGACTGTTCTCTCTTGAAGACAAATTGTTCATCAGGCAGAAGATATCGGTCCTCAACTTCTTCGTTGAGCCTTGAGGGCGATAGTTCTGCGGGAACAGCGGGTTCTGAACCTGTTTTGGGATCATGACGACGATCGCATGGTTCCACCTTCTGGGGAAGTGTCTGAGGGCCAACGAAATGTTTATGATGTACAGCAAACATTCGACGCAATTGTCCGGTAGCCTCTTCAACAACTTGTTAGTTATCGAGTCGACCCCCGGGGCTTTCTTGGCCTTTGCGGCCTTGATGTATTCCTTCAGCTCTTCCACAGAAGCTGGACGGATGTCGTCGTCGTCATCTTCCCTGAGAATTCGGTGAACCCGGTCTTCCAACAGCATATCGCGGTCGATGTCGTCGTCAACGTTAATGTGAAACTGACGTTCCATCGTGTCAGCAAAGGCTAACGCTTTGTCGGCGGGGGAGTAGCACACTCCGCGCTCTCCGTGATTAGGTGAGAGAGCAGTCTTCTTCCCCTTGAGCCTGCGAGTGACTCGCCAAAGCTCGTCACTCTCAGGTTCGAAGGATTCCAAAAGCTCTTCCCACTTTTCGTTTCGATGATCAATGATGGCCTGCTTGACTTGGTTGGCCATCCTATTTGCCGCGATTTTATCCCCGGGAAAAGAGTTCGCTGATAAAGCCTTCTCAGGCGATTTCTCTCTCGTATCAAGGCGTTGATACGAGGGGGAAACTCATCATATCTCCTCAGCGGACACTCCTCCCTGTAGGTGGCCGCTCGAAACGAATCATTCACAGAAAGCTCGAAACGTTCGACTGCCGCGTCGAGTTCGTCGGGAGAGTCGAGTACCTCAGGAGGGGCGCGTATCTCTCCGAGCTGGGCTGTGAAGACATCCCAGTCCGTCTTAGATTTCATGCGATAATCAGGGGAAGGAAGATCATCGCCCAACACCAGGATTACTGGATTATGATCGGAATTCAGTTCCGGCAGAACGCTAGTCACAGAGACGTTTCTGAGAAGCGCGATGTCCAGTACGTCAGGCCTAGTTTGCCCGCGATAGTACGTAAGCTCATCTGGTCCCAGCACAAGATATTCATGTCTGTCAACGTGCGCATGGAGCGCTTGGCCGTTTCGATTTGTGGCTCTGCTCCAAGACCTGTGCTTGGCATTGAAGTCGCCAACAGCAATTGTCGGAGTGTTTCTTCCCGTCAGCAGTTCATGCAGTGATTCAGGGAGTAATCAATTGCTCGGGGGATTGTAGACCGAGATTATTCTGTGACAACCCCTACTCAGTTGAGTTTCGACACTTACAGCCTCAGTTCCGTGTAATCGGGCACTGTCAATGCCGTATTGGACACACCGAAGGGATCGTTTGACAAAAAAGCCAACTCACACATCTCCAACATTTCTTCGATGTTATAGGCTATCAAGGTTTCGGTTAATGTTCGCGTCTCCAATCAGGCGGATGGCTCTTTTCTGGATGGAATCCAGCAACTTCAGGGTATGTTTGGGGGCAGACCTCCAAACAGGAGAACAATACTCCAAAGAAGGTCTGATCTGAGCTTTATAAAGCATCAAAAGTTGCCAAAGTTTGCATAGTTTTCTGGTTCGGAACAGTGTCTCGAACTTTTAAGAAGCAACCTATGCAGTTCCAGCGATATGATTGTGCCAAGACATATTGGTGTCCATTTTAACCCCTCACAAACTTATCGAAGCAGAAAGCGGTTCGGAGACGTTTATCTTCTTGGAGAAAACCGATGCCTGAGTTTTTGTGGCATTGAATTGAACCTGGTTACTTTCACTCAAATTGAAAATCACTTCGAGATCCTCATTAAGATATGCAACATCCTGCTGCCGGTGAAGATGTGCCTCCGTAGCTGATGTCCTAGAGATCATATTTCTCAAGAATGGAGAAATTCCTCCTATTTAATGGGTTGAGATTGTATGAGGTTATCAGGACTGAGAACAAAACATAAATGAACAAAAAAGTACAAGAAACGGCCTTGATAATCTATCAGTTAAGCCATCCCTATTCTTGAATTTCAAGATAATACCAAATAAAACGTAAAACTGAAACTTCTGGCGTAAAGTAAATCCAGAATAAGCAATTTTCCCAATTATCCAAATGACAAAACTCTTCTCGAAGCGCTTCTCACCAACCAAGTTGGCGTCTTCAGGAGATGAATAAAACAGTTGAGATGATACCGGTTTACTATTAGACTTTGGAGTGTTATTCGTAAGAAGCTATCGATCACAGTAAATCTCTCTTCGAAAAGGAATAACAAAATGAAAGAATCATTGAAAAGAATGTTGTTCTAGATTCTAGAGTAACAAAAATGTGTTCAGTCATAAAACAGGATACCATAAATTGATGGATGTAATCGTAACTACGTGAAGAAAAAGAGAATTGAAACTTTCTGTTTTCTACCACTTTTATTTGTAACTAACGTTACTGCAGTTTCATCCTATGAGGACATTTTCAAACTTATACATTAAACCAAAAATTATTGATTACATTAGCCTTTATATAACACCATTGTAGGTAATAATAGATGTACTCAGCTTAATTGACTTACTTCTGGATATTATCTGCTTTGAAACCATTATTATGGCCTATCTGTGAAAACAATCACTTATGATGGTAATGTCTGTATATCTAGGTTTTCTGAAAACATTATTCATGAATGTCACAAATTGGTTCAGCTGTCGTGAAGTAGTACCTATTTCCATCCAGACAGTCATAAATTACCAGCTTACAATTCATTGTTGCGTAGAGCATTCTTACTGCCTTTGTCTGCTAACAATCTAGCTAGGAAAATTGATATAATTACACAGATAGACGATAATAATGGTTTCAATGCAGATACAATCCAGATGATAGTCAGAAAACAAAGCAGTAAATTCACTTACAGATTAATATACCCCCAGGTCAAACAACCAGAAATAAAGAAATTGGTAAGTCTAACATATTTTTGAAAAAGAAAAGAGATAATTGCGGGTTTCTTTAGAAAAAACAATGTGGAAATGGCATTCAGACCACATGACAGGTTATTTGATTTCCTTTTCAATGCCAAAGATAAAGTGGACAAGTTGGAGGAACCTGGAGTTCATAAGCTTAAGTGTCCGGAGTGTAATTGTGTTTATGTGGGACAATGTGGTCGAAATTTCCAGAAACGGTATGCTGAAAATAAAATGTCCTTCAGACTAGGTTAAAATGATTCGACGTTCTCAAACCATTCCTTGGCACGCAAACACAAGGTCCCGAATTTAAACGATACGAAAATTCTGCACTATGCATGGAAGGGTTGCAAACTCAATTATTTGGAATCCTTGAAAATTCACTAGCATAAACATTGCGGGTGCAACCTGTTAAATGATCAAATCGATCTAGTTTACTTACTGGTTTTCAAATTAGCATATCCACATTGTCACAAGTAAACAAAATTCAGGTACTCAATTAAGCTAAGTACCTCTATTATTACCTACAGTGGTGTTATGTAAGGGGTAATATAATCAATCATTTTTTAGTTTAATAGATAAGATTGAAAATGTCCTTATAAGACGAAACTGCAGTAACGTTAGTTACAAAAAAAAGTGGCAAAAGACATAAAAAGTTTCAATTCTCTTTTCTTCAAACAAGATACAATTTTTTCTGTAACACTTCAATCCTTGTGAAAGAAAGGTTTTTGCTTTTTTATTCTCCATATTCATAGAAAAATGCGGGATGCTTTCAAAGAAAGGAAAAAACAATTAATTTCAAAATAAACCCTCAACAATTCATACCTTGATTCTGTTTTCATTCATTAGGGATCCTTAATAACAATATAATTCCATTTGAAATTCTGTGTTGATTCTTTGTGCATTAAAGTTATCCAAAATACCTAGTCAATATTTTTATTTCAAAAATGTTCCACATTTTGAGTAATTTTCTGTGAATTTCGCTTATTTACAATCGCCAGATGGTTTCTTAGCTTTCTGTTAATTTCGCTTATTCACAATCGACAGATGATTTCTTAGTTTTCTAGCTTAACGTTCTGTACCATCAAAATGAATAACAGATACAATTTTTACCTTTTATGGCTGAGAGTGTAATTACGACGTAATTTTGTGTTCAATTTTATGAAAAATACATGATATTTCATTTAAAAAATATCAGTCAATTATGAAGAAGTAATAATAAATATGCATTTGATGAATGATTGATTTAAACTCCTTTGAACAATCACCTTATTTTCAGCAGTGTACCATCTACAATCAAGTTAGGTTATGAATATGAGCTCATAATCACTAGAAAAGCCAACAACTGACCTTTCTATGCGGCGGTGAATGCTATTTTTAGCAACGGGCATTTAATGCAATTTCAACAAGGAATTTCCATAAGCATGACCGAAACATTTGACTTTTAACTTATGAAAAAGGCAGGTGATGATGTGGAATTTGAATTGTTATAATAGTACGGCCAAAGATACCACGATACTGACGATATTCAAGTTTTCATAAATTATTATTCTCTCCAAAACACACTATCTCTTTTTGACGTTATCATAAGAACGCTGTATAAATTTACATATCTCATTGCGGTCCTAGAATTTTGAACTAACGTGACTTGGAATCTCTACACTTTTTTATTTTTTTTATTATTTTCTTTTTTCATTCCTTTAATTTTTATTTATTCAATTATTATATTTTTACTTGGATTTCAAATCATTTTATATAGTAGACAATGGAAGTCCGAACTAGTGAAATTCATCACGAAACATTGTCAATCACCTTCAAACAAATGGAAAGATTATTATTGACTGTGTAGATATGTATTTTTTCCACAAATAATCTATTGTTAGATTTGAATCAAATTCCTTCAATTTCACAGTTGACCAGAAGAATGATGGGTTGTAAGAATAATGTGTCAAAATGCATCACTTTTACGATTACTTTGTGATGTAAAACCTCTCAGGAAGTTTATTCCACATAAACGCAGTTCTTCAAATGAAAGAATCCTCAAACAGTGAAGTTCGAGGGGTACTGAGTTGAACCTCAAAACGATCGGCAGCCACAATCACTTGAACACTTTACGTGAAAGTATTTATAGAAGAGAGACAAATCTCCAACTTTTCTCCGAGGTTTCAGACTATCGGGGTTGCAAGTGATGTTCATGTCTCTAAATCAGGCGGAGGGATCTTTTCTGGATGGAATCCAGCAGCTTCAGGGTATTCTCAGAGGCGGAGCTCCATGCATATGAACAATACCACTAAAACGGTTTAATCTGAGCTTTAAAAAGCATCAATATTTGCTGAGGTGTGTACAGTTTTCTGGTTCGGAATGGTATTCCAAGCTTTTGAGAATCTGAGAAGCAGCCTTTGCAATTTCAGCGCCAAGACATATTGGTGTACATTTTAACCCTCAACAAACTTATCGAAGCTTATCGAAGCTAACTTCAGTTTCGCTGTCATAACTATGTACCTTTGATTCTCGACTTTCTGTGAAAAGCTTGCACCAATTGTAAACATTTTTATGACTCACCGTACAATCACCGTATACCACTGGCAATATTTCAAATGTTTTTTTTAAGCACTGAATTACATTTTTTACACGAAATTTGATGCAAATTCTTTGATCCATTTTTTTCGGTAGCAGAAAATTACCGAACTTTCAACTTTTTTGCCTCTCATCAACATACTAAACATGTTGAACAGCTGAAACTGTGAGACGAGTGTACCAACATAAAAAATGAAAATATGGCTAATCAAATGTATGTAGCTCGCGAAATTCGAAGTTTCACTTTATTTTTTTAGCTAATTCTGATACGTATGCTCATGGAATGAAGCAAAAATAATCTTCGAAAAAACCAGCTGATTTTTCAATCCAGTATTTTTTGACAGAACAAAAATATGAACTACACATACATATAGAGTTTATTTCGAAACTACTCGCTTTATTCCTTTCTTTGGAAGATTCCCAGATTTTTTTTTCTATAAAGATGGATGAGTAGAAAACTAAAAACTCTTTCCCAAAAATCAATTTCTCCTAAGAATATACTACTTTCAATATCAATGAGAGTTTATTCAATGGTTCTGCAAATAATGATTCATTCTATTTGAATTTAAACTCAAATTTATGCATTTCCGGAAAGAAAAATCTGATTTATGATCAATATCACTACCATTTTTTGAAGACTCTTCCATCAGGATCGTTACGTTTCCAAAGAGTGCAAAACAGTAGGTACTTGAAATCCTCCCTACCTTCACAAAGACAATATCTTTCAACCTTGAACTACAAAAAAAAAGTAAAAACGGTCCACACTTATTTAAAAACTTTTATGTTTTTTTCGCAAATATATTTGATTTTATTATCACACAAAATGTAAGTCTGATGCTTGAAAAGTTCTCTTTTTGGTACTGATATGTTGGTGGAGAAACTGGTACAGCGTATAAAATGAAAGGTAGAAAATGCAAGAACTATTTATGAAATTGCACTATGCTTGCGTGAAATTTCAATGCTAACAAGCCTCTAAAGGTAGTAAATTTCAACACTTACTGGAGGAATATCTTTTTCTCTTTACATAACTATTGCTGTTACTGGAATACCGTTTAAATACATCTTCTTCGTTTTCCTCTTCCAAAACATCTACAAACATGCAACACAAAAATAGAAAGAAACATGCTAAACAACACAAAACAGATATGAGAAGTACAAAATACACCATTCAAGCAATGATACAGTACAAATGCGGTTTGTCTGATGGGAATTACTACTGAGATCGATTTAATTATTGCAGTAGTAAAGTGACGTTACTTACTGCTAAATTCTCAGATACGCATGAAGAAAATTAAACAGACATTATTTGATATTCAATAAGTATATACAGGATGGTTCAAAGATGACATTTAACGAAAATGTGAAATTTTTTATCGAGTAGTAAGTGGTCATACCCGAAGCATTACATTACTTTTGAAATTTTCAATGAAATACAGGAGGTTTAAAAAAGTCATAACATGAATATCTCTTTTACTTTCATTGAATACAGAAAATGATTGAATTCACCTCATAAATTTTGAGAAGAAATTTTAACAAAATAACTTGAAATAAAATGACATGGGAGTGAATGAAATAATAATACCATTTGGGGCCACTTTCCTCCATTATCCTGTTCAATTAATATCAATTCATTTAAACAGCGCATCTATGAAGCTCCACAAAAAGTACGATTTTTTAGGACAGGCAAAAACGTTTAGAAAAATTGTCGTTGTAAAGTTTGATGTTGGTTGTTGTTTTATTGCTGTCGTGTAGAATTATTTCTTTTTAGAATTTTGGCATAATTTACCTATAGTAACAATTATAATGACCCGATTTTCTGCTGAGCATGCGTGTACTTTTGGTAGGAGTGGAAAGACGTCATGGTTCGAAACCGCTCGAAACTTTGGTTTGACTCGAAGCCTGAATATCAAATCCCATTATTAATCTGATGAAAATCCAGACTAGATTATACGCAATTGCAAAAGTTCAATGTGTGGGTTGATATTAGGCCAAAACTGTTCCTATTGGTTCCCATTTTCATCATGGGTCATCATATTTGTATTGGTTCACATTTTTTCAATAAAAGTTTGAGAGACGTATTAACTGGATTTTTGACAAAATATAAACATTAATTCCTGACTTCAACCAGCGTTTTCCAGATTTCAAACAACTAATATATTAGACTGCTGAATCCTGTTTCAAGAGGATGGCGATGACAAATATGTTGTTTGTCGTTCGCTTCAGCCTTGTTCGAGGGATGATACTCTGAAAGGAATTCGATTTTGGATTATGGGACATCATCTACTTCATGTTGATGACAAACACTACCTTGCATTGATGTGAGGCCAACTAGCCCGAAACCGGTCTGCAAATGTGCCCGTTTCAATAATTGAAAATCGATTCAGGCACTTGTATCGCCAACAGCATATGCAGGAATTGCACCTGTGAATAATTGCACTGACATCTGTCGGATATAATCTAACACCTTTCGTGGTATTAGCCAGGAGAGTAGTTGTTTTCTGATATGTGTCAATCCATTAACCTACTGGGCGGAACGAATTATTCCTTCAGATGATTAAATTGTTTAGTATCACCGGCCAATTGTTTTTCATGATATTTTCTTCATGGACTATAGAATTAGTTCCATTCTTTTCAGTTTTTACAAATTCAAATCGACTTCCTGAAACGCTAATGGTTTTTGTGATGAAGTTGTTTTTGACAAAATGGTTTAGACTTTCACGGCTGAGGTTTTCAGTGTCGTTGCTTTTCGAGTTTGAAAGCCGTGGGTTTTTGAAATTTCTTCCTGACGTTTTGCTGGCGCCAGCCTCTCGCTTGAAACAGTTTATAGCCAGGCTGGTAGATGAAGTTCATATGTCATGATGTGTCATGTTGAAAAACCTTTAGTTCAAATTCCCAATTATTTTTACTGAATATTCACTCAAAAATCTATATGATTCAACGAATGGATTATCTTCCCATGAAACAAACCGCACATGTAAGAAACAAATTGAATTTAAAATTAGCCACAGTAATTATGATATCAATACTGAATATGTATGACTGCTACAATTATTAAGAAAAACGAGTTTTCTGGTATTACAGAAGTCGACGACTAATTCCATATAAATACATACCTGTTAGACGATGTCTTCCAAATTCATCTATTATTCCTCCTAAAGAATCGTCGGCACTCTCTAAAATGTTTTTTAAATTTTAAAATACTACACTTGATGGTTTATGCAATGTTTTCGATAAATGCTCTCTTTGTCAAAAAGTTCATTCATTACTGACAAATGTTTCAACCAATCTTTTTTTTTATATTCATGAAGGTCCAAGACACAAAAAAAAATCATTATTTTTGGTCCGGGGGTTAAAATAGTTTAGTTTTTCTAATAGAGAGATATGAGAAGTGACTGTTTATTTCATCAATTTATAATAAAGCTGTTGATATTGCCCACCTCTGAGGAATGAGAAGGGGTCAGGATCGAAAATGCTCGAAAATTTGGCTTGGCTCGAATCTTGAAACATCCCTAATGTCAATCAAAAGAAAACATTTAGGTTACATCAGATTAGCATCGGTAATAAATTTCAACATAAAAAATCAAGAGGAGTGAGATCTGGTGACCTGAGAGACCAGTGAATACGGTCACATAAATCTATCTAATTATGATGCAACCGTGCCACCAGAAGTTGATTCGTAGTTAGGCGTGGAATCTCCACCCTCATTGAAATATAAATTTTGACTACAAATAAGGAACAATTTTTCTAAGGAACTATTCAACAACTCTAAATCCAATTAGTTCGCAATAAATGTATTGAATTGCTTCCAAAGTTGTTTACGTTTTGATGTCATGTGTTTTTGTAGGTCTAGATCTCAATAAATATTTATTCGTGAAAAATGAAACTTTCTTTTTTTTCATACTTTTATTCATGATGATCTCCTACCAAGTAGTAACTGCTACATTCATCAATATTCAGTCTACTGTCTCGTGGTATATACTGATCGACAGAGAATTTTTTACTCTATACATTAATGCTGCTGATTTTTTCCAAATTTTTTGATTTTATTCAAACTGAACCAAAGCGCTGCCAAAACAGCCCAAAAATTAACCAGGCAATGATTGTGTTAACGAATGCACTGTTTGACGTTGCTTTGCGGAATTTTGTTCCGGTAATTTTGGCCTCGAAGATGAGCCCCGAAGTGGTCAACCTACAGTAATCCAGAACGAGGATTTGAGGACCCTGATGGAGACTGACCCATCAGAAACGGTGCGAGGGATGGCGAAAAAACTGGACGTTAGCTCCTATGCAGTTTTTACTCGTTTATAACGTATTGTAAGAGTTGAAAAGCTTGAAAAGTCGGTGTCCCATGATTTGATCGATCGACAGAAACTGTCACTTTTTGAAATCTGTTCTTCTTTGCTTTTGCGCGACCAAAATGATCTTTATTTGAATCGTATCGTCACGTGTGATGAAAAGTGGATCCTCTAGTACAGGGGTCGGCAAGTAGTTTTAAGTGGGGTCCGGAACTGTGGGAAAATTTTAACGAGGTCCAGAAAAAAATAACTGATGAAAATTAGGTGCTATCTATGTATTATTTTGGTTTCAGATCAAATTCTGAATTATAAAACACAAGACCTAAAATTAATGTGAGAAATTACACCGACGGTCTTGAGCCAGTTTTTTATAGTTTGGTTCTCGAGAAGAACAGCAAATTCAAAGTGAGAGAAAGATGTTTCACATACATATGTCGAGTTTCTTGCAATTTTCATATTTTTCTGGAACATATTTGGTCCAAAATTTTTCAGTGAATACCGTTTAATATATTTGTAAAGATACATATTCTTGCGAATCAATTATCTTTATTTGTAATGCCTTTGACAGCCACATCTGTCCATTCTGCTGCTACATTAACTTCAAATGAAGATTTAAGAAACGGATAAAGGTTGTCCATCTCTGCAAAGTCTTGTAGTCCAAGAGCCAGTGACGCATGTTTCATGAAGTGTTTGATGCACCCTGAAATTTTGTAAGGCTAGTATCTATGGAATAAGATAACAAAAATGTGTTCAGTCATAAAACAAGATACCATAAATTGATGGATATAACCGAAACTACGTGAAGAAAAAGAGAATTGAAACTTTCTGCTTTTTACACCACTTTTATTTGTAACTAACGTTACTGCAGTTTCGTCCTATAAGGACATTTTCAAACTTATACATTAAACCAAAAATGATTGATTACATTAGCCTTTTTATAACACCATTGTAAGTAATAATAGAGGTACTCAGCTTAATTGACTTATTTCTGGATATTATCTGAGTTGAAACCATTATTATGGGCTATCTGTGAAAACAATCACTTAGGATGGTAATGCCTGCTGTAGCTAGGTTTTCTGAAAACATTGAACTTATATTTATTTTGACTGTGGGTAATGACCAGGTCTAAGAAATTTATCTGTTTCTCTATTTCTGTTTTGAGTGTGAATTGAATGATGCTCTTGAGATTATTCATGAATGTTATAAATTAGTTCAGCTGTCGTGTAGTACCTCTTTCCATCCAGAAAGTCATAAATTAGCAGCTCACAATTCATTGTTGCACAGAGCATTCTCACTGCTTTTGTCTGCTAACAATCTAGCTAGGAAAATTGATATAATTACACAGATAGACCATAATAATGGTTTCAATGCAGATACAATCCAGATGATAGTCAGAAAACAAAGCCGTAAATTCACTTAGAGATTAATATACCCCCAGATCAAACAACCAGAAATCAAGAAATGGGTAACTGTAACATATTTTGGTGAAAGAACAGATATGATTGCGGGTTTCTTCAGAAAAAACAACGTGGAAGAGGCGATCAGAGCACATGCCAGGTTATCTGATTTCCTTTTCAATGCCAAAGATAAAGTGGACGAGTTGGAGGAACCTGGAGTTTATAAACTTAACTGTCCGGAGTGTAATAGTGTTTATGGGGGACAATGTGGTCGAAATTTCCAGAAACGGTATGCTGAACATGAAATGTCCTTCAGACTAGGTTAAAATGATTCGACGTTCTCAAACCATTCCTTGGCACGCAAACACAAGGTCCCGAATTTAAACGATACGAAAAT